AAAATAAAACTATTTGAAATTGTTATATCAAGGGAACTGCTTTTAGAGATATTTCTGATGTTATAGGTGGAAACTGTGTTACTGACTCAAGTACGCAACCGCATTTGCCAAAACAGCAAGATTAATCGTTGGTGAGCAAACAATACCGAACTTCTTGTCAAGTTCTAAAGCCGCGAAATATAATTCAACAACAACCCTATTTCTGACGAAGCCTAATGTGAAAAAGTTCGCTCGCTTCCTTGCTTCTCAGTATAGTCTACCAGTCATGGGTTCTCGATAGGTGGGAAATATTTTACCAGTTGTATTATAACTGTTACAGCATACAACAGAAATTATTCGATGTTTCAGATGTATCTATACTGCGATATTATAGCGCCTAAATTAAATATTTTAAAATTACGTTTCTGGAGAGGGTCAGTGAGGTTTATAACAAGATAGGAAGGCGTACTTAGCATCGAAGTGTCTATAGTTTCCATGTGATAGCAAGGTTTTCTTCCACGGGGTCACGGTACGTTGAAACTGTTTCACGTTTGTTACTGTTGCTTTGGTCGCTAAGTTGAATGAACCGGAATATGTACATCAGTTCATTTTACCGAATGAATAGCCTTGAATTGCCAGGCTTGTGAAAGTATTTATGATAATTTTTTATGATCATATGCCAGTATTTCTTTATTAAATATAATTTTGGTTCGGTGCACATTTGAAAGGATATATTATTTCCACAGTTAAATAAAGTTTTCCGGCAAAGCAGATAACCCAGACGACGAGTGTAGTCCACATTCGTTTTCATATAAATTAACATTCAGCATAATCAACTAAATGAAAGGCTTAACAGATACTTAAGTGGAAGATCGAGGAACTCTTTCTGTACGCCTCGAGATATTACTAACTCTTACTATAGGAGCTGAAGTTTTAAGGCCGTGAATACCAAAGGGCGGAACTAGATGTGATCTCGACTCACTTCTTTTCCGCTTCTTATTTTCACATTTACTTAAAATCCATACTAAAATTATTCCCCAACCTCTTTCTAAGCCTCTATCCAAGCGATTTCCCCACCAACATTCTTCAGTTACTGCATGCAAAACGATCTATAAATTGGTTCGTAGTTATTGATCCTACTCAGCTGCAAAAATTATGTACCACCAAATTCATATGCGATTGACCCTAAGTGGTAAGAAAGATGAAACTAAGGACATAACGTATTCCAAGACGCTGTCTTGGCATTCTGTAAGAACAGAGGAAAAACACGAAAATCACATTCTGTTAGTAGGTTTCCCTTCCGGGATTCGAACCGATTAACGTCCGACACTTTGCTGCTGAAGTGATCTCTCTAGTGCATGCCTAAAATTCGCCTTATATAGAGCGACGCTACTATATCCGTTGCCTGACCATAACAATTTGTGGAGATTAGTAGTAGATTCGACTGCATATTCTAAGCACAACAGATACCTCAACACTCTGGGCTTCAACGTAAATAAAATATCTTGCCATGTGCTTCTTGATGATATATTTCTTGAGTTATTCGATCCTGAAGATAGATGCAATGCGTTCTTCCGAATATCTATTACTTTCGTCCGAACTACAGATGGCGTTATGCACAAAACATAGTTTCTCCATAGCCACCGCTGTGAGAATCTTAGATTCTCATAATTAATTGAAGTAAAACTAGAAGCAGTTCAGACCTAAGCTGAGTCCCTCATAATGCTAGGGTCGTCTGTGGGTACCGCAGACAAGCATCTATAATGGTGGATCTATTTATGAACGCCAGTCTATAAAGACTCCCAAATATAATTTTGCCTGTGGTTCTGTATGGGTGTGAAACTTCGTCTCTGACATTAAGGGAGGAACATAGACTGAGGGTGTTTGAGAACAGGGTGTTGAGAAGAATATTTGGACCGAAGAGAGATGAAGTGACAGGAGGCTGGAGAAAACTGCACAATGAGGAGCTTCATAACCTGTACTCTTCTCCAAGTATAATTAGAATGATCAAGTCAAGGAGGATGAGGTGGGCAGGTCATGTAGCACGAATGGGGGAGACGAGGAATGCGTATAGGATATTGGTGGGAAAGCCAGAAGGAAAGAGACCACAGGGAATACCAATGCGTAGGTGGGTGGACAATATTAGTATGGATCTTAGAAAGACAGGATGGGATGGTATGGATTGGATAATCTGGCTCAGGATAGGGACCAGTGGAGGGCTCTTGTGAACACGGTAATGAACCTTCGGGTTCCATAAAATGCTGGAAAAATCTTGAGTAGCTGCAGAATTAGCGGCTCCTCCAGAAATGCTCAGCTCCATGAGTAAGTTAGCAAGTAAGTCTATAGAGACACTTCCTATTAAACTTACAAATCCGAAGTCAGGTTCCAAGTAACTCAAATTATGTTGTAATAAAAGAACTTTCTTATTATTGCTTCTTTACCGACAAGAAAATATGATCATGAGAAGGTTTTTAAAGGTATCCAGTATTTATATCGTTGGTGTCGTTCCATCTTCGTTTAAAAATTTTCCGGTACCTACGACAACAAAAAGGCATGCTAGCCCAAGATTACTGTAGGGTCAGTACGGCGCCAGTTGCTATTCTACAAAGAAGCAGTTCAGCGTTTAGAGTGACATGCTTCATTCCTTTCTGTGACTAACTGTTTGAAGACAAACATTTCTTGCAATACTCCTTTAAATGACAAATGCCTATGCTTTAATTTCCGTTTTACCTATTCTGGGTTTGACACAAAAACTGTCCTATCTTATGTCGTTTTTAGACGTGTTGGCAACCCTGCGGTGGCCTATTAAATCAACTCAGCCTGTCAATTTTTATGCATTAAATAACTGGAGGCCCACTGCATTTTCATTAAATTTGATACAAGAATATTTTAATATGTACCGCTGACATTACATTTTCAGTTAAAATTGGACAAAATAACAGAAATTTTACACGAAAACCTATGTTCGTTTCAGCGTGTATCTAGCTAAATACTTATTTGAGCGAAAAATGTTCAGAACAACAGTCATCAGAGATATCAAACACATATTTTACTTCCAGCACACTTCTCTGACATGGTTTCAGTTTTAGGGATAGCTAAACAAAAGGGGCGCTATGACTGAATTTCCGAACTTGTACATTCAACAATCAACAATGGTCTTCCGAACACACCCATAGACTGCCAAAATATTTTATTCTCGTTAATAATTTAACGAAGTTCCATTCCACCCAGATTTATAATTAAATATACACACACATATATAGTATATTTATAATATATATTTAGTTGGTCGTGCTGTTCTAAGTATATTATTCTCCATCACAACAGGTCAGTTCACACTAAACAAAAGTTTCAGAAAAATAATATAATTAAAAAAGCAAAAGACAGTCTTCAATGAGTTCAGATGGAATTATATATGGTTTGCTTTATTCTTTTAATGTGGTGCTCTTACAACAGAGCCTTGAAGAATAAGCCTTCATTTAAATATGATATATTTTTAAGTCTGATTTGCATTTTAGTGTGTGTAATAACAGTAATCAGCGAAGTTTTAATACAGATTGTTTATTCATTTTGTATATAGTTTTGACTCTTCGCCAATGTGACTCAGCTTCAACTAAGAGTAAACAGTTGTGTGGGAATGTAGTGTCGAAGAGTACTTTCTTCTTCATTGTGTCTTGATGTATTTCAGGAGAACTACCCAGAAGAACTTATTCTACATAGTCGCCACTGTGAGAACCTCAAACCCAGCAGACGTGTTTGTTTATTGAAAGGGAAGATTTAATCGTAGTCTTCATTATTAAGTTTATCTAAAATGAGGTACATCCAGAATTACAGAATATAATTTCCTTGTCTCACATTATACTATATTCTTTCTCATAAGTAATTTGAAGAACATAGATATTAACACATGTATATTTGTTTCTGGGGAGCGATTCTGTTAAGTGTATAATTTTAACCTATACATTCGTTTTAGTTTTAATGTGGGGTTCAATCAGCATCCCATTCTGGGTGTGGCACAAAAGTTGGGGATATGATGATCTCTGTAAGACCGAATTTCACTTAACTAACTGCTGTTGCTGAAAAATACTATGGTACAGACGTTCTCTGGACTGTTGACTAGGTGACAAAAATGTGTCATGTTTTCACGGAGATCCTGTGGTGTTTTGGAGACGTCGAGCTAAATCTTGAAGCGCAATCATCGGACAGATGTGAAAAAGCACTGGCAACGCGGCGAAATGGCTGATGACCGAATACTGGCTATAAAAAATCTGGAATCTCGTATTCGACAAAGAAATTTCTACAGAAATAACAATTTGGTGCAGAATTATTTATTTTAATTGGCATCCATACATATGGTCCTTCAATTGCAAGTATAAGTGTAACAACTACCCATGTAATTCCAACTGAGAAACAATTATATTTTCATAATACCTACAGTACTTACACAATGGAACCAAAGCCAAAGTAATAATGTCAACAAAATTTATAATTTTCAGAGCATTTATCCTTAACATGTGTTAGCAATATCCACATCTACGTACATAATTTCGATTAATTTTTAAGTACATTAGATTCATTAGTTCATTTTGATCTCAGAACCCCAGTATGAACACAGAGGTTTGTTTATCGTCACGGCGTTCATTTACGGTGGTGTGTTAATTAGTGACACCTTAGGTTTTGAAGCAATCGTATGCTACTTCAATTTGTTTATATTTGCCAATTGATCTTCCTAATTAAAGGGAGGTTAAACTCTCAATCACGCAATTGAAAAATTCTATTGCATATATTCTAAAATGTACGAATCTGCAATGCGCATATTGCTAGTTTTCTTCCAACTCATGATTCGTTCTTATACATTTCACAGTGCAGAGTATCGCTACTAACACTCATTTTTCTACTAATCTAGATAACACTTGGGTTAATATTTTAAGCTAGGTGTCCTCCATTACGAGAAAATTTCGTGATCATAAATAAAGCTTAAATACTACAAAAGTAAGTCTGGCGTTAGGCCAACTTCTTACCTTTTCCTTTGGCCATTCTTATTCAGTGAAGAGATCTGTGTGAGTTCGTGAGATTGCTACTGCGATAAATGGTAACGCTACACACGACGCCACAACCGTGCAACACTAAGCCCGTGTCAATACGAGATGTGAGCCCCGGGCACGTCTATAGCTGCCCAAGAGTAGCGAATCCCGTGCTAATAGAACTGCAGCTGCGCACGAGTAGTACAAGCTAATCTGGGTTAAACATAGCGGGACAGCTATAGCAGGAGTTTATGCAGATAATTATAGCATAACGAAAGTGGCAGAAGTTGGATGACATCTTTTAGAGGTCATTGTTAAAATTGCAGGAGGTTAACTATAGCAGAATAGCAACAGCAATAGCTGAACATATTAACTATAGCAGATAAATAGTTACAAGATCAAAACGCGTTAATGATAGACAATAACGGTAGTGGATGAGTTTTGAGCCGGTCTATCCCCGAAAAAATAGCTCCCGGTAGCCAATGGATATGAGTGGGTCCCATAGCCGGTCTGGAGGAGGCGAATCTCTTGCCCCTGCCGGCAATCGAACTCCGGCCCATCTCTATACTAACTGAGCTATCCCGGCTCCATCACATGTTCATTAAATTAAATATAAATATCGCTACTTCCTGTTAGTTAACTAATAAACGGTATAGGACAAACTAAAACAGAGGGCCAAGTCAGAATTAAATATGGTTAACTGCAGAATACTAGTGACGCGAAATGTAAGTAAAATGAAGTTATGCATATGCTTAATCAAGAACCACACCATAATAATGTGTGAGTGAGTGAAGGTATCGCTCCTTGCATTTTTAATCTCAGCCATTGATAGGTAAGGGATCAGCTTCACACCCTGGCCGTTCTACCAGCGGGGAAAGAGCCCTCGGTACCCACTGGATAGAAGGCTGCGCGGGATCCGGAACTGGTCTGGAAGCTGTGGAGATGTGAAAAATCTTTCTTGCCAAGAATCGAACTCCGATTGATCAGTCGTCCAGTAGTCTAGTCGCTATACCGGCTGAGCTTTCCAAGAAATATAAGAACTACAGGTACTACCCGCATATTAATGACAGAGAAACAAAAACAATAAGGAAAGAGTAGCAAGAAGTTGGATAATTTTGTTTTTCAGGTTCTCACAGCGGTGGCTGTGAAGTGTTGTCTTCTGAGATATAGCACAGCTAGTCCGATGCTTGCTGCCTGCTTGCATGGACAGGGCTATAAATGTTGTTCTGTGTTATTTTACGAAGATACGGGTCCGAACATACATTCAAGAACATTCAAGAGTTCAAGAAGGACTGTCTGAATAGCGCTGTAACAGCTCCGACATCAGAGAAGGCCAAGGCTAAAATCAGACTGGAGCACCAATGAGAAGTGGCAGCAGGAGCAGGTCTACTGTTTGTTCCTCTGACATCAAACAGAATATTTATAACGAACATATACTTCATATTCAGTTTTCCAATTTGCATTTTTGAAATTAAGTCTTTGTTAATATTTTGGGGTTTAAGATTTTAAGTTTTGCCACGCTTCACGGTGTCATAACCAAAAAGACCATACTATTAATACTTTTCGTTTTTATTTTTATGATGAATAGTGGTTTGTGTGTGTCAAGCCGTATGGAATAGTAGGTAATTACTTTCACCGACTGTGCTGTCTACTACTGTATCTAATTCTGATATTGCTCAACAGGGGCACTGTTTCCCGTTTAACATAAATCATGTTCACAGTCGGATCTGACCGATCTGATCGATCTGACTAAGGTCACAAGCGTCACAAGGTTCCAGCGAATGCTGTAAATTCAGCCTTGTTCGAAGAGGCTTCTAGGCCGACATGGTTTGTCTTAATCACGTAGCTTGGTGATAACCTGTAACGTTTGCTGTGAAGAATAGAATGTTGTTTGAAGATGTCTATGTATGCTGTTAACTCACACTGAGGATGAAGCGGGGTGGTTAGAACCACGGATCACTTCTGGTTGATTTAATAATTCGTTGTTTATCTAAACATGTGATTAGGTTAAATTTTTTTCATGTGTTGTGTTCAGTTACTTCTGTTGCGCATACGATTTTTAATGAAATACGTTCGATTCCTTCTCATTCGCGGTATTCCTATTTGGCCCATTATATGTAAGGCCAAATTTTTTTTTAGAAATTTCATACCTGCACGATGATAGTCATGTGGGTGTGGGTGCCATCAGGACATTCCTATGGGTGACAATTAGAAAATATGCTTACACACGTTTAAACCATTTAATTAAATCAAGATAAATATTGTTCAGGAAGTTCCAGAAAGTCTTTGTATTCGGCACAGAATACATTTAAAATACATTCCTTTTATTAATGTTTGATGTATTTCCATCTTCTTNAACATCTCGTATTCAGATGTGCACGGTTATAACACAGTACATAAGCAGAATTTGTATGTCCAACCATGTAACACCTCACGTTGTAAAAGGAGTGTGATTAACATGGGAATAAGATTGTATAATAACTTGCCCTCTCAAATAAGAAGTATTCAAGAGTTCAAGGTTTTTAAGCGTCAATTAAAGGATTACTTGTTGTGCAAAGCTTTTTATTCCCTTCAAGAATATTTTTACAAGAATTAGCGCAATAATAGAATAAAGATACTTGGGTAATTTATTTTAGCTATTGCATGTAATTTATAGTTTAGCTTTTGTTGCCTAATTATACTCATCCACTGTTTTATCATATTTAAAGGACTTATTATGTTATTTTTCTATGGTTTTTATGCTATTAGTCATTTGATGTGATGTTTTTAATTTTATTTTTTTATATAAAAAACTGACTTGTCCAATTGTACATAATGTAACAGTTATGGATGTTAAATAAATAAATAAATCAATCAATCAATATACAGAGGTTCGCTTGCAGTGCAGTCTTGTATAGCAGGTTATGTCTTAACTTGCTCAACAGCTGTGAAACGTCAGTCATTTGAACGGCCGATGGCCTGACCGCTGCCAAGTTTTTCTTCTCCATGCTTTCTCTTTGTCCTTTTGCACGTATTCTTTTATGAGTTCTGCCTGTTTCCTGCGTAAATTAGTTGTGCTATGGCACACGTCTAAACCACGAACCGGTGTGCTCCGGTCAAAGTTCCGATTGGTGTAGAGAAATCTGTTGTGCACGTATTGTACTTTTTATATGCGTATGTCTGCCGCGGAATAAGCCGCACAGGGAAAATTATTACACATATGGGGGAAGAATGGCCGGAAAAGTAATTGTAGGGGAATCAGTGGCAATTATTGCATTACGACAGTCTCCCCCAGTCGAACGGTATTGCTTTTGCATGTTATCAACTCTCAGCAGAAGCGCTGGCCCGACCCGTAGGGGAGTGCAAAGATTACTACACGTAAACCGACTCCGTAAGCACCAATTTATTTTGTAAGATTCGTCTGTGCAATTTATTTTATTTGGAAATATCCATTCTTCATTTCTCTCTGTTAATGTTGATGTGTCCATAGTTTTACAAAATGTTGTCTGCACATCTTACTTGTTTTAGGTTAAGGCTCTTCTTCCTATATTTACATGTACATAATTTTGTCTCAAAATCTGTATTCTCAACAGGTCTACATCGTTATCCGTGGTCTTCATGTTGAAAATCTCCGATGTTATGACACGTTACGTGAACCATGCACAGTTGGCAGGGTTGGCAGTGCAGGTGCTCACGTGAAAACGCGGCAGCCAACAGAAGTACTGGACCTGAATGTTGACAACGTGTTAAATGTTATCGTGAGAGTTTTGAAAAATGGTGCTGGATTTAGATCTTTTTCGTCCTGAGAAAGGCGGCGATCCTGCGAAGATAAGAGAAAATCAGGCGCGCCGATTTAAAGATGTAGCTTTGGTAGATAAAGTTGTGGAGAAAGATGTCGTATGGAGGAAGCGTAAGTAATTTACTGCACATTTACTGTTTTCGAGTGTAACGTGTTTGAAGGAGGAGACTACGATTTTAAGTTATGATGAACCAATACCACATTATACTGAAGTGGATTTTAAAACTGTTGATTTTAATTAAGATACAGAACTTCTTGACAATGATATATTAATACAGTTATTGACTTTTTGGGCATTAAAGAAGAACAGGGCGATGAGTATTTCCAAAAAGTTGACGAGTGTACAGATGGTTTTAATTCTGTTAGTTTAATATTTAACAATGAGATCATAGGCTAGAAGGTTAGGAAGGTTCAGGATGATCTGTATAGTGTTGCATCATTTGCAGAATCAGTAGAACTATATATGTAGTAGGGAATGTAGAACACAACTTGTATTTGCTCAGCAGTTTATACAACGTTCTGACATATTTCAGCACATATGTGGCATTGAGTAAGTCATCAGATACTTGAAAACATGGGTAAAAATCTATATTATTTATAAATATACATATATATTATACATGTAATTTTGCCATATGGATCCTTCGTCCCATCAGGTGCTTATTTATGCTTGTATGAGATTTCTTTTTTTCTTTTAATATTTCAAACCTGGTTTGTATCTTGAGTATGGATGCGCACTAATTGGAGTGAGATACAGTGGTTGTGTTGTTACATATACTGTCTGTCTAAAATGTCTTTAAGATTACATCATGCCTAGAGTATGCAGTGTTACAGAAGAAAAGTAGTATGTTAAAAGAAATCTGTAGTATGATGGTTGTGGGTTCTGTCAAATGTTGAAAGTTGAAACTGGTAGCTTTCTAATGATGACATAATGGAATAAATCACTCTCAGGTGATGATTTGATTAGTTTGTGTTTCTTTTCTTACTTCATTGAAGTATGAAGTTTTAGGATGTACTCATACAGGTATATGTTTTAATAGGGTTGGTTTTATTGGTATTTTTCAGTCTTTCAGTGTTGAGGTGTTACTTTCTGGGGAAAGAGGTTTACACTGGTATCCAGTTCCCAAGAGTAGTTTAATCATTTGCTTTGCAACACCTGCCAGAAATGTTTCTGTTCTTATTCCTAAGTTTAAGAGAATTGTTTTTACTTTTTAAATAGATGTTTTGTCCATTATATATTTTGTATATACACTTTTTGTTACAGTGTGTGACAAGGGGCACACGGTAGCATAGTTGGTTGAGGCACTATGCTAAAAGCTGGAAGGTCGTGGGTTCATGTCCCGATGAGGTCATTGGATTTTTTTCAATTGACCTAATCCTTCCAGCCGCACTATGGCCCCAGGGTTGACTCAGCCTCTAACAGAAATGAGTACCAGGAATATTGGAATATTCTTGGGGGTAAAGGGCGGCCAGCATTTAGGGCTGACAACCTTGCCGCCATCTATGAGCTGATTGTATAGAAAATGTGGGAACCCCAATATCTCACAACCCTATGGGCGTCCTCGGCCTGTTACAGGGATACCTTTACTTACTTTATGTGATATTTAAAGAAGAGATAAGTCTTGAGTTTAAGATTATTTCTCATTAAGAACAGTGTAATTAAATCACCTATATTTATCATTCATAGCTCCTGTTATTATGGTGTCACATTTTCTACAGATCGTTTCAGTGTTCAGCAGATGAAACCAGGAATGTACTGTTTCATTATATCTGCTTAAATACCTATGTAAAATTAATTAAGAACCTGCAAAATAAATTATTCAGATTTACCAGAAAATGTCTCTCTAGATATTGTGACATGACAGTTGAAAGCCGGAATGGTGGAGCTGGAGCAGACAGCCATTGCTAAGCAACGAGTCGGAAATCACATTCCCGCTACAACTAATAGTAACAGACAAGTCATTGCCATGTAGCAAGTTGCTAAACACAAGATTCCTGTGATAATCAACAAAATAACAGAGGACAATTAACTGTTTGACATAATGACTTATATTTGGGCCATGTGGCAGATATAAAAGAGAGTTTATTTCATGAATTCAGCTGAGTCAGAGATTCATCTGTAAGAGACTTCAGAAGACAGTTCAGTAGTTAACCAGATAAGACTTGTTACCAAGCAATGACTAGCAAGCAGGCATTGAGGACTTTATTTTGTGTGTTATAATTGCAGTAATCTTTAGATTATTATAATTATATGTAGTTACGACTTGTGAGTGTCCAGTAAATCTATTCACCTAATCCAGAACCAATTATTATTAGTTATGCTAACCAGGAACATGTGACAATATAATGCATCTGTTGTTCAACAAAAAGGCCTCAACAACTGGATTTTCTTTTGCTAGTGTTTCATAGTCATAGGAATGGATAGCTGTCTCACACTGTCAAAATAGTTTATTTGGTTAAGCATAGCTTAACCTGATCACCTGATGATGGAGGAGTGAATTTGTTTTTTGTTTTTTTTTCTCATTGTGGGTTCTCCCTGTATTTTTGCAGTGCATTGAAAAAATCAAGTGTTAGTGGCAGATAATGAATATAAATTTGAATTTTTATTAATTGTAATAAACAATTTCAGTTGCTTGAATATTTGTTTTGCAGTACGCCACAAAGCTGACAACTTTAATAAACTGAAAAATCTATGTAGCAAGGAAGTAGGAGAGAAGATGAAGGTAAATATATGTGAAATTTTAATTTTGTATTGTTCATATAGGTTTGATATGTAGGTATATGGCTTATTTTGTATGGAATATATAACTGAACTGCTTCCCATATTCAGTTATTAATTATTATTATTTTATTGCATCAGTTTGTTTCATCATATATTAATTGTCCCTGCATTTCTTTGCAGGCAATGGGAAGAAACAAACATGAAATACCTAATCATACAGATACTTGTAACAGTAGAATAAATCTAGCTTTTGGTGATCTTGACACTGATGCTGGCATGAGTGCTCTGAATGAGTTTATGTCTGATAAAAGCTATGTTGGTGGCTTTCTTCCATCACAAGCAGACACAGTACTTTTTGAAGCTTTCAGAGCCCCTCCTCTGCATACTCACCCCCATGCTTTGCGATGGTTTCTACATATACAAAGTTTTGGTGATGACAAGAAAAACTTTCCAATTTCTGTTCAGGTGAGGTGGTTATTTCTGTCTTCAGAGGTTGTGGTAATTATTTCATTCAGCTTGGGCAATCTTTTCTTCAGTTTTCTTTCTGCTTTTAGTAACTGTTATAGGCAAAACTTTACATGTATTATATTCTTATATTAAAATACTGATCCACATATTTCACAGGCATGTTTGTTGCACATGAAAGAAACTAGAAAATAGTAAAATTGTAGTGTGTGTTTTATATATATATATATATATATTGTGACGAATATGACCGTTTGCTAGACAGTGGCTCAGTAAACACTGCCTGGAAGCTGAAATAACGAGCATAAGTGTAAGTCCATTTGCTAGGCAATATCTCACTACCACGCGTTCCCACTGCAGTGAATATTAACGACAACATTCCCATGACAGTGGCAGAATGACAACTGTTCGAGGTGGTGCCCACTGTTTGGTTCTCCGGTAGGTATAAAAGAGTGTTCATTCGTGAATCCAGTTCAGTCATGGAGCCATTCATAAGGGAGTTCGTTGTGAGCAGGAATTCTTTGTTTGTCATTCATCACAGTCAAAGAGAAGACACACATAGTCCAGTAAGGAATGGAGTGAGTCTTAAGACTGTCATTAAATGTGAACTGTCATAATTGAATGTAATTGTAAAGAAGTGTCAATAAAATCATCAAATCCAAAACCCATTATCATTCATCACACAAACCCTGATAGATTACATTTTGGTGTCAGAAGTGGTTATGACTATAAGTTTATGACATTTTGGTGTTGGAATTGGTTGGATTTGATTGATTGGGCCCAATTAGTGGATTTAAGATTGCATCATATTGTTATATTATCAAGAAAATGGAAGTGAAATAAGTGACCAAACTCCTGAAAGCCGACAAGGCAAATATATATATATATAAAATTGCAGTTTTGCTTATTTTCTGTGGTTGAATGAGTTAATTACTCTGAAGGGACTGATCAAGTTAGTGCAGCGGGAGTGTTTTGAACTTGGGTTTGAAAGATACATAGTTCGTAGGTTTTCTCATTCTTTCTAGGCAAATGCCAGGATGTACTTTTGAATAGGCATTACCTTTTCCTCATCGTCCTGTCACCTTAAGTCCATTAATATTTGCAGTTGATAAACAAAACATCACTAAATAATCAACCAGCTTTGAGGGAAGAATTGAAATTGAAAGTGTCTGAGAACAAAATTCTGAGTAGACTACTTGGACCCGAAGAGATGAGGTGACAAAGGGTGAAGAATAGGGAATTTTGAAGTGAGTGGTTACATTGCCAATGTACTTGTATTAATTAAATGTATATGGAAGGGTAGATTTCAGTCAAATAAAGCTTTATTGTAATATTAAAAATATTGAAGAGGTTACATATTTCAGTGATTTTTATGCAGCATCGTCAGACTTACACATTAAGTGTGTAGGGGACACTCTGTAGGTGCATTTTTATAAACATGATACATATAAAAGGCAGTAATAATTTTGGTATATGGATAATTTAATACTGGCTTGGGTAGCTCACTGGGTATAGCAGTGAGCTACTGGCTGAATGACTGGGATTTGTTCCTTCTCAGGGGCAAGAAATTTTTCTCTTTACAGCATTCACACTGGGCCTGGGGTTCACTTAGCCTCCTATCAGTGGGTACCAGGGGTTATTTCCTTGGGGTAACGCGTTTGGGTCATGAAGCTGACCACCCACCTCATTGTAGTGTTGAGGTCAAGAATGGAGGAGCTGTACCTGCACTCCCTCTTATGTCTTCATTGCATGATTCTTAGTTAAATACAGGGACTACTTTACCTTTTAAATGGGTAATTGTTAAAAGTACGAAGGGCGTTCCATATATAATGCCTCCTATTTTTTTGTGTTAATATGTAACGTCTGAGCTGGATGTTGGTGGTGTTGTAGTAAAGGTTGAACCTTCCCGCCAGTGTACTGTTAGTTTGGTTGTCGTGCGACAGATAGCGACAGTAGAGCAGTCTACCAAAATGGCGTCTGACATAGAAGTGTGTACGAAGCAGATATGTGTTATTGAATTTCTCACTGCCAAACAAATTACACCCATTGACATCCATCAACACTTACTAAAGGTGTACGGAGATGATACAGTGGATGTCAGCACAGTGAGGCAGTGGTTAATGCGTTTCAACAGTGGCAAAAGAGAAGTGCACAAGAAACTATGCCCTGGGCATCCCTGCTCAGTTGCCACTCCTCGCAATGAACAGCGTCTCGATCAGCTCAACCATACAGATTGGCAGATAACAACCAGGGAACTGTGTGCACGGCTTAATATCGGCTGTAATGCATTGGAAACGATGTCGGGGAAGCTGGATTATCGCAAAGTTTGTTCCAGGTGGGTCCTGAGGATGCTTACACAGGACAACAAAACTCATCGAATGGAAGTCTGTCAGGACCTGTTGCACCAGTTTGAGGCTGAAGGTGACAAGTTTCTGGACAGCATCGTCACCGGAGATGAGACATGGTGTCAGCACCATGAGCCAGAATCCAAAAGACAGTCCATGGAGTGGCAACATCTGGATTCCCCAAGAAAAAAGACGTTTAAGACACAGCCATTGGCAAGGAAAGTGATGTACATGGTCTTTTGGGATAGGCAGGGTGTGATTTTGTTGGATATCCTGGAGCCTGGTGAGACTGTCAATTCTGAATGCTACAAGACGACACTGACTGAGCTGAATGCCTGCATTTCTTAAGTCAGGCCAGAGAAGCAGACAACCTTTCGCTTGCAACATGATAATGCTAGACCCCATACCAGTTTGGCGACCACCGCGCACGTTGCAAGCTTTGGCTGGACTGTCCTACCACATCCACCTTATAGACCCAATTTATCACCTTCAGACTTCCATCTCTTTGGGCCTATGAAAGATGGTCTACATGGGCAACATTTTCCAGACAACGATGCTGTCATTGTAGCTGTAAGAAAGTGGCTAGCCTCTGCTGGCGCAGACTTTTATGGGCACGGCATACAGGCTCTTGTTCATCACTGGCAAAAGTGCATAACGAATGGTGGTGATTATGTGGAAAAATAGCTGTAAGTAACTGAAATCTTGAAATCTTGCTCTATTCAACTGCGTTATTATCTATTGTATCTATTGTAGTTTTCATTAAAAAAATAGGCATTATACAGGGTGGGGCACAGAAAGTCCTTTTTGTGAAAACGCATTTTGAAGGGAGGGGAGGTCGCAGGAAAGTGAGGATAGGCTCAGTGAACGCAGCAGTCGCAGAAGTTTCTGTCTAATACCCTTCAGTAGGAAACATCAGGTGGACGACTGAGCAGCGTGCGTTTGCTGTCGAAGCCTATTTTTCGAACAACCATTCCAACGTGGCGGTGCAGCGTGCATTCCATACTCACTTCGGAATTAAGCCCAGAGGTCTGGTTCCCGACCAGAAATCGATTGTTTTGTGGGTAGAGAACTTTAGGACAACCAGGAGTATGGTGAAAAAATCATCAGGCTGACAATGGACTGTTACGACACCAGAAAATGTGGAGGCAGTTCGACAGTCAATTTTGAGATCTCCAAGACGCTCTGCTCGCAAACATGCAGTCACCCTAGACATATCCAATCGTTCAATGCACTGAATTCTTCACGAACATCTTAATTTTCATCCCTATAAGATGGTTGTTTTGCAAGAATTGTCACCACATGATTTCCAGAACCGAATAACTGCGTGCTAAACGTTNGAAACGTTATTGGAAACTTTACCCCCTGACGCACTTGTTTTCTTTAGTGATGAGGCACATTTTCACCTATCCAGATACGTCAACAAGCAGAATATGCGCTATTGGAGTGGTAACAATCCCACAGAGCTCCATGAGAGGCCACTTCACAGTGATAAGGTGACAGTACGGTGTGCGTTGTCGAGAGTTGGAGTTATTGGCCCTTATGTTTTTTGAAGAAGACAATCATGCAGTTACTGTCAATTCACAGCAGTATGTGGACATGATTAAAAAATTTTGAACCAGCTCTTGAAGAAATGGATCTAGGAAATGTCTGGTTCCAACAGGATGGTGCCATGGCCCAAACAGCCCGAGCTTCGATGGCAGTTTTGAGGGCAAAGTTCCCCGGACGGCTTATCTCTCTTTGAGGTGACATCCCATGGGTAGCACACTCGCCTGATCTAAGACCCTATGATTTTTTTTATGGGGATACCTCAAGGCAGAGGTTTTTAAACCTCGCCCTACAAACCTGCTTCAGCTGAAGAATGTTATTCAGCATGAAGGAGCCCAGATTCTGGTGCACATGTTGGAACGTGCAGAGGGGAACTTCAGAAAACGGTTGCATCAGTGCATAGAGAACGGTAGCCACCACCTTCAAGATATTTTGTTTAAAACTACATGATTTAAAACTTTAAAGTATGTTCTTTCATTAGCTAAACATAAATTTTGTCTATCAGCCATAATTTTTCTTTTATTTGCCTTAAAAAAGGAAGTTTCTGCGCCCCACTCTGTATATGGAATGCTCCTCATGTAAATGTTTGTATAAGTTTGGGGATTTTATGAAAAAATAAAGGAGTTGTGGGAGGCATTTCCTGTAAAACAAAATAATAACAGAGTTATAATTATATGTATGTATGGGACAAATAAAAATTGTATGAAATAAATTGCTATTCTTTTGTAAAGTGTAAGTATGGAGTAAGGCACTTAACAGAGATGAGATTATAAGTAATATATTTTGTTTGTGTGTTATTTTTTTGAGGGGGTGCTTGGCGGGAGAATGCATGTTGACTGTAGCTTAGGATCTTTATGGTATGCATCCTGTTGTGTATAGTTCACTAAAAGAATGTGATTTTGAGACAGTCTACCCAACAATAACAGCAAAATAAAGTAGATGTTGACACGATAGTGTCTATCTTGTTTATTTTCTGAAGTAACTGATGTGTAAAGTGTCTCAAAATCATATCCTTTTAATGTAGCTTAGGATATTGTGTATTTCCATTCTCCCACTTTGAAGTTCAGGATGACATCAAAGATGGGTACATAAGCATCTCTGTTAGTGTTGTTTAAATGGGGTTTCAATTTAGCATTTATATAGATGGGGAGCTGTTCAAAATGTTAGAATATTTGTCTTTTCTGTGGACAGGTAAATTGTCCATGCATTTGTTTACATCAGTGTAAGTGTGTTTCATTTCAAGAGCATTTATGAAAAGCCTTGGTTTGGTTTGTTGTACATAATGTCCTTAATGTGTTCTTTGTATCCAGTAGATTGCACTGTTACTGTGTTTACCCTTTGTCTGAGTAACTCTTAAATCTCTTTTTCTATAGTGGTATTGGTTTTGTAGGCAATTTTCATGTTAATATTATTGAAGAGATTAGCATTTATTCTGTTTGGCATCTCTAGTATGTAAATATTTTTCATTTGACCTTGTCCTTTGTGGTGTCTTTCTTCTGGGTTAAGGCATTTGGTTCGTGGAGAGAGGTGTTACAGAAAACAGGTGGATATTCATTTTTGTGTAAAATGTCTTCTGTAATATGTAGTTATTTCTTTTTGTCATCGTAAGATGAGGGATATTTGTGGAGATGGTCAATAAAGAATTTGATAGCTAACATATGTGTCCTATATGACAGCATCAGTCGTTGTAGGTCTTCTGTAAATGTTTAAGGCTGTTTTTTGGCCTGAGGGAATTTGTTGTTTCAGGCTCATAAGTAAAATTTAGTGAAGGAAAATGTTAAATTCATAGAGAACTGTTGTAGTATTTGTGGAACTGGGGTTGTAAATGTTAAGAATTGTCATCTGCATATTGGCAGTAGCTGATAATACATTGTTTTATAGGGATTGGTAAGATGTTGGTATGTTCTGTGTGTTGAAGGAAAATATCTGATAGAATGGTAGAAGTGAGGGCTCCCATGGCTAGGCCATTGGCTTGGAGTATTATTGCTGTGATGGAAATAATTTTGGTTGAGTACAAGTTCAATTAAAAATAGGAAAAGTTGGATAAATATTAATAAATTATTGAGTGTTTTCTTTTTGTCCTCATTACTTCCCCTCCATCACTGTGATAACTGAAAGTTCAGAGTATAGGGCAAATCGAAAGGTAATTTGAAGCACAGTGTAAATGACATAAAAGAAGCATAGCGACCAACAGAGGGACTTAGAAAATGCAAAGAACATACTAGATAAGCAACATTTCCATTAAAACAGTGACTGATGAAGCAAGTAAGAAATGGAAGATTAATGGATGCATTAGAAAGTTTTCATATATGTGTATATATCCAAGGTACAATTTCTAATAGAACAGTTTTAGAATGTGGTAAATTATTTCATTAGCTGTAAGTCTACAGACATGGAGCGAAAACATACTGAGCGAGTAAGTGCATGTGCATTGTATACAATCAGTGCACCTCACAACATTCTGAACACCAAAAAGAAGAGATAAGCCTGATAATATCTGAGTAGAGTGGATTTAGTAGACAGGCTTTTGTGGAGTCAGCTTATGCATTATGGGTCAGCCCAACTGATGGGAGGAGCATCTGAGAGTACACAGTAATTTTCAGCAATAATGAATGTTGTAACTATTAATAAATTATGCAATTCTGACTTGATAATAGCATGAAGTAAGCAGTCAGAAGACATTTGGGATATACGAAAGAAAATAGTAACACAGTTGAATAACAGAAAATAGATAATAATTGAAAGCAACACCAAAAAGAGAGTAAGCCAAGAAGAAAAGAAATATAAAGAAATTAATTTATTTTATATCTTCATAACTATCGTAAGATGTATTTTAATGTTAAGACTGTAGTCTTCAGGGGTGTGACGCCATGTAGTTTGGTAGATGGTTATATCCAGTGTGACACTGGAATGTTGATCATAAACTTAGAAAATTTCCATTCTGGTTGGTGACTTAATCTGACGCAATTGGATGGTCTATACATGCGACCTCTTGTTGGATTTGAAGTTCTCACATCTGTGAAGAATTGTGTCTTCTACGATATAATGCTGTGTAGTCTGGTAAAAGTCAGCGGATGTTTCAGATGAATATTTCACTTCCATCTTCAGGGTCAAATAGTAAGCCAATCAAGAAACCAGCGTGAAGCAGGCAGCAAGCAGAATGTGCTTGGAAAATGGGGGCAATATATTCCTCCAAAATGTTGGTTGACTGTGATAACTCAGTAAAACAAATGGGCACTGGCTAGATGGCCAGCGAACTGAGGTTCAGTTCCTGGCAGGGGCAAGATATTTTTCTCTTTACACTGTTCAGACCAGCTCTGGGGCCCACCCATCCGGAGGGTACTGGGAGTACTGTGGTCCTTTTCCCCAGGGGTAAAGTGGCAGGGGCATGGAGCTCACCACTCACATGTCTAATGCCAAGGTTAGGAATGTGTTCAGCAGTACTGCCACTCCCCTGTATGTGTTCTTAGCTCGGTGCTTAATTAATTAAGCATAAGAAAAACTTAACTTTTTGTCTCAGAAGATAGAAGTCTTCTCTTCCTGTTCCATTATTGACGTTTGTAACTATAAGTTGATTAGGAAATAGCTTTGATTTTGTAAGATTTGAGGTTTTCATGGCAGTGACTATGAAGAATGCTGTCTTCTGGGATGTGGGGCTGTGTAGATCTTGTGTGAACTGACATTCCTCCAAAACATCAGTTCACACAAGATTTACTGGTGCCACATCCCAGAAGACGGCATTCTTCAGGTTTAATTTTGTTCATGATGTTCACTGTGCTGAAACATTAGTACTACATATTTCTCTTTATAAGTAATGTGTTGTTGTTTCTGTTATTCATTAAAACTTGAACGTAGAGATAAGGTTTGAATTATACAAATAATTATTTATTCAATAGCGGAAAGAATCAACTGGTGATGATGACAGTGTCCCAGAAAATATACAGAGGAATTTGGATTCTCTTACATCAGAAATGCTGAAGCCATTGACTGTAGCTCAGCTGAAGAAAGTTCGTGTCCTCATTGATGATGCAATCCAACAGAACGATGTGGATCTGCAGCAGACAGAGAAAGAACGAAATAATGCCTTGCGTGAAATTGGGAACCATCTTCATGATTCAGTTCCTGTCAGCAATGATGAGGTGAGTGTTGATTTATATGCTGGGAATGATTACACTGGTCTGAGGTGGATTTATTGTTTGGAAGATTCTTGTTTTGTAGTAATTCTGTTATGTCAGGTCCAAAAATGGCATCAGATCGAGTCTTATCATTTACAGATATTTTGCAGTATTTCTGTTGGTGATTCTATACTGTTAGTACTGCAGTCTGGCAGAGGCCAGATCATGGTTTATGGTGGTGTACCACTGTGGGGCTTAAGTGTAACTCAAATTTTACCATAATCACAACATGTTTTACCTTTGTCCACCTTTACCCTAGTACCATGAGGCTACCAGGTTATGCTTTGCTACAAGTTTTAACCCGCTGTAGTTACCTAATTTAAGGAGAAAATTCAGTATCAGGATGGAAATGAATCCTAGTGAGTAACTTGAGTCTTTGTTTCTTAAAGAGATAACTGCCCTCTCATTTCCACCTACCACCCATTCATTCATTCATCAGTAATCTGTCAGACGACAGGTCCACAGCCTCTTCCAAAACAGTTTCTCCACTTAATGCGATCTTCTGTTTTTGGAAAGAGACTATCCAGGAAAAGTGATAATGTGGTAGTTTTTCCATTTGCTTTCCACATCGCAGTACAACAGCCATTTAAACCACTCTGGTCACGCCTGTTGCTATACGAACTTGAACCATCTTGAGCATCATTTTCTCTGTGCTTCAAGTCGCCGCTGATGACGCTGCTTCCGGCATCAGTTTTCGGTGTCTCTCTTCGTCTGATGCCTACCCTTTGACCTGTCCAGCAAGGGAGGCCCTGTAGCCCTGCCAGTAGCTACGCTACCGCTGGTATAGCTCTCAGGGTCCTTGGCATACTCAAACACCCTCACCACGATAAGGTGGAGACACCAACGAGGGGCTACCACCCATATAGGACTGAAATCCATAAGGGGAAAGATATCCTATAGCACTAGTTTCCTTCTTGCCACCTAGTCACATGAAGTTTCTCATTGGTTGTCATAATGGGAGAGCACAACATGAAGTCTGCATTGGATGAAACAGAACCCCCACCCCAGACTCAGTTTGATACCAGGTTCAAAATATCGTACGTGAAAAATAAGATCTAAAATTTAATGACAGTTGTATATTAATGCAGTTAACAATTCTTTGGACATAATCTATTGTCCTGTTGTTTGAAATAGCATTGCAGAGATTGGATGCTGTCTTCATCCTCAGGTGAAAAGCTTACTCTGTTAGATCCAGTCAGTAGAGCTAGTCCCTATCTCTATCTGGAACCCAACAGAGTAGGCTTTTTACTTGAGGATGGTGACAGAGTCCAGCCTCCACAGTGACATTTCAAATAGTAATTAGAGAAATGAATAATGACCAGAAAATTAATCAGAGTGTCATATGTGGAACTAGGTTCAGTCAAACAGAGTGCTGCACCTGTAAGTGAAGCTATATTGTGAGCAGTATGAATGAGTAAGTCTTTCTGAATGTCATGATGTGCTGAGAGAGTGAAATAATAATCAAATATAAGCTTTTACTCTACTGGGTGTCAACTTGTTTCAAACTGTGGATGCATTTGGAACTGCCACTCACATTTAAAAACAAAAGTGGAAAGAATGCATTAGTATGACATACATACAGCTTTCTTTTGCTTCAGAATCATGTAGGACCATAACCTCACAATTACATAAATTTAAGCACATTGAAAATAAGATTATGATTAAGTCGTGCCTTATGTTGTGTAGCCCTGATTCACCAAGGTTTTATGAGAAGTGTGTGAAATAATTTTGACATCCTGACAGTAGTAGCACACTTGTGAATGTACCATTATTATTGAATTAATTTATTTGTGGCTTCTATATTAACCAGTATTACTGTGTAAAGTGGCACATGTAAAAGCATATTTTGTTAAAATTTCTCACATAAAGCATGTACAACATCCAGTGTTATCTATTTGAGGGTTGTTTACATTTTAAAGTTTTTATTATAGTTTATGTATTTTCCAGGATGATAACAGAGTAGAAAGAGTATTTGGAGATTGTGCACAGAAGAAAACATATTCACATGTCGATCTGATTCATATGATTGATGGAATGGATGGAGAAAGAGGTGCACTAGTGTCTGGAGGAAGAGGATATTACCTGATGGTGTGGTTTTCTATTTCCTTACTTTTGTAGGCATCAGTAGGACTTTGACAAGTATAAGAAACGATATCAAAATTACAGCCAGAGGGAGTCAGGGCTGGTAAGAATTGAAGTGGTGTAAGCCATGATTTGATGAATATTCAAATTATTAGGGCAAGGGAAACACGCTAAATTGCAGTGGTTACAGGATCTGAGTGGAGGTAATATGAAGAGTGTAAAAGGTGAAGCTAATAGACATTTCAGGGACAAAAGGGGGGAATATCAGAAAGACGAAATGAATGAGGTTCCAACAAACAATAGGAACAAGATCATGATAGAGTTATATAGAGTAGTGTTCTGTAATTGGTGTGCAGCCCCAAGGTATCAGGAATACCGTGCATTTTTATAAGATAGTGCATATTTGTACATTATAGTTAGTAAAGGGTAATATTGTAAATTAAATTAAACTGTCAGCTAATTAGGAGTTGTCCTTTATGAGCTAAAGTGCTGCCTGCCATTTTCTATATGCCCACAAGCAAAGATCACTCATTCCACTCACAAGACCCATGCACTTTGTTTGATATGCACATGTGAGAGAGGAAATGCACTGATTTGTGTCGAATGTGAATAACAGATGTAACATGTCAAAGCAATTTAAACCACACCAATACTTATGTATGTACACTGCATTATGGGTTATTCATGTAGTCATATGAAATTTCTCATATGATTAAATCTCACCATTAACAGCAACAGTTTTCCATCAGTCTTTGGGCTGGTATTTAGGTAACTGTGTCATAGGCCCTCATGTTTTACCAGCTGTGAGTACCTTAATTTTCTTTGAACACAATTAAGTGGGCTGTTGGAAGACATGTTCTTGCAATATGCATCTTCACATGTGGTTTCAACATGATTGTATTCTGCCGCATTGCTGTCATGAAGTGCAGTATCAGCTGTCCAAAAATTATCCTAGATGCAGGGCTGGTTGTGGGTGTGTAACTCTAATTTCATGGTCTGCATGCTCATTTGACTTGAATCATTTCATTTTTTTTTCTGTGGGGATATTTGAAAGCCAAGTTCTGTGCCTGTACAGTCATACTAGAGAAGAATGGTTATGTTGAATTCAGCAGTTTGCAAATGAAATAAACTATACAAGCAGAGTCTTTGGTTGCTTGCAAGTTCCTTTTTTATGTATAGCTGAGTTGTGTCTGTGAACATGTAGGCCATTTCTAGCACCTTTAATATGTAGCACGTCCACAAAGTAAGTTTCCCACTCATCCCACAGCTAGCAAACCTTATATTGCTTGAAGCGACTGCACGTACGTGATAGAGCAATGACGTAGCATGGCGCATGCACAAACGGAATTTCGTGCATTCCCACAGTAGCATCGTTGCAGCTGTTATAGATGGAGGCTCTTATTCCAACTCCTGCCTACTGTGAAGTGCGGTCAGTGATAAAGTTTTTGAATGCACAGAGCATGGGGTCGATCGAAATTCATCGTCAGCTGTGCTGGGTCTATGGGCTAACGTCATGAGCAAGCAGATGGTGCATCGCTGGTGCAGACAGTTTTCAGCAGGTCGACAAAGTGTGCATGATGAGAAGCACAGTGGGCAGCCATCCATCATTACAGACTACCTGGTGGAGCTTGTGCGGGAACACAGTATGGAGAATTGTCGCGTCACAATTGTGGAACTCAGCAGTCATGTCCCGCAGATTTCCCGCACCTTGTTGCACAAAATTGTCATGGAGCACCTGTTGTTCAGGAAATTGTGCACCAGGTGGGTGCCGAAGCAACTGACACCAGAACACAAAACAAAGCGCATGGAGTCAGCATTGACCTTTCTGCAGCGGTACCATGATGACGGCGACTGGACCGGATCATCACAGGTGATGAAACGTGGATTGCACACATTACCCCAGAAACCAAGCAGCAGTCAATGCATTGGCGTCACAGTGGATCTCCCTGTAAGACGAAATTCAAGCAGTTGTCGGCATGGAAAGTGATGTACACGGTATTCTGGGACAGACGGGGCGTTCTCCACGTCAACTTCCTGACCAGAGGTGAGACGGTGAATGCTGAGTGTTACTGTGAAACACTGCAGAAATGCGACAGTCCATTCAGAACAAGCGGCGCGGGATGCTTAGTGCCGGTATTGTCTTCCTGCACGATAACGCTAGGCCGCACACGGCTCGACGGATAGCAAGTCTCCTGCAGGAGTTCAGCTGGGAGGAGTTTAANCTCCCTGTAAGACGAAATTCAAGCAGTTGTCGGCATGGAAAGTGATGTACACGGTATTCTGGGACAGACGGGGCGTTCTCCACGTCAACTTCCTGACCAGAGGTGAGACGGTGAATGCTGAGTGTTACTGTGAAACACTGCAGAAATGCGACAGTCCATTCAGAACAAGCGGCGCGGGATGCTTAGTGCCGGTATTGTCTTCCTGCACGATAACGCTAGGCCGCACACGGCTCGACGGATAGCAAGTCTCCTGCAGGAGTTCAGCTGGGAGGAGTTTAAATCCACCCTACAGCCCGGACCTCGCTCCCAGTGATTTCCATCTTTTCCTACACCTCAAGAAATTCCTGTCCGGTGAGTATCAGCGTTTTGAGAATGACAGAGGCGGAGATGGTTGTCACACAGTGGTTCCAATCCCAGGCGGCAGACTTCTATGACACAGATATTCAAAAGTTGGTGCCACGGTATGACAAATGTCTCAATTCCGGTGGCGATTATGTTGAAAAATAGCTGAACACTTGCTGTATCTGTTGCAATAAATATTTCCATGAAATTATGTTTTCTGTCTTTAAATGGCCCCAGGGAAACTTACTTTGTGGACGAGCCTCCTATGAAAGTAAAAATGAGATTATTAATAGCTTTTTTGTTTGTTTTCTTCTTATACACAACCTGTTAAACTTAGGAAGTATCTAAGGTGTGACGATGGAAATTGAAATTAGAATAGCTATAAGTTCTTAAGGAAGGCCCTCAGAGTGCATATTCAAATTAACTTTTTTTTTTTTTTTTGCTTATTGTAATTTCCAGAAACCAACCTGTTAAACACGGCATATAATAATGAGACATTCTGTATACATTGTTTTTTTCATTAATATGTTATACCAGACATTTCAGTAATTGCAACTTCCTTATGACTGTTGCATGGTCATATGAACTAGTGAAAGGTGGGTGCATTGTAGAAGGAGAAGAATGGATTTACCTGAGAAGTGTGGATAGTGATTAGTATTAAGGTTGTTACCGTGACTATGCCAATGGTTGTTTAATTAGGTACCAGCTGCTTGCTGTAGCATCCAGTTTGCAATCCTTCCGCAGGTCATGTTCAGTTTATATTGGACAGGTAGGTTTTTTCCTGTGTACTTGGCTTCTTCCCTGCTAGCCATTATACTACCATAGTCAATAAGTTCATGGACTGGCCGCAAAGCATCATTGCAGAGCTCTGCAGCGGATAGGTTGAGGCACGATATGATGCCCTCTCAATTCATTTCTCGTCACAGCACGAGGCAGTTGTGTGCAAATAGTGTAAGCAGAACTATGGCCTCTATTGTGAACTGCAGTTAAACGCAAATGACAGAAATTGAAAACGTGGGAGCTTGAACAACAGGCAAACATCAAGCTCTGCCAAAAACTAAGAAATCCCGTAGCGAAACCTTTAACATGATGAAGCAAGTGTATGGCGAAGAAGCTTTGGGCTGCAGTGCTATGTTTAAGTGTCACCAACATTTTGCACAGAGGAGAGACGGTTTGGAGAATAATGAGCATCGTGGTCGGCCAAAAGAGGTCAGAACTGAACGCAAGATCGAAGAAGTTGCAATGTTGGCACATGCCAACCACTCCCAATCGATAGATGATATCACAGCAGCAGTAGAGATGAGCCATGGTACGTGCCACAAAATTCTCACTGATTACCTTAACATGTCACATGTTACCGAGCACTGTTCCATGCGTCCTGACACAAGATCAACGTGACGATCACATGAACATTTATGGTGATCTGATCAGTAGTGCTGACTAAGATGAGATGTTTCTCAACCAGATCATTACAGGAGACGAAACATGGTGTTTTCTTTATGATCTGCAACGGAAGTGGCAATCAGCCACCTGGAAATCGCCAAGAAAGAAGAAACTGACAGGACAGGTCAAAAGGTAAGGTGATGCTTGAACTGTTTTTCGATTTGTCGGGAATTGTTCACATGGAATTTATCCCACACGGAGCAACTGTAAACAAGGACAGATACAAGGAGATTTTTATCTGTTTACGCAATTCAATTTGTCACCAGCATCGTGAGCTTTGGCCTAGGAAGAATTGACTGTTGCTACACGACAACGTCCCTGCACATCGCTCTGTTCTTGTCCAAGAGGAACTGGCAGGGCAACAGGTCATTGGTTTGACGCCCCCCCCCCCATACTCACCTGATCTCGCACATGCAATTCCTTTCCCTTTCACCACGTGAAAGCAAAGCTACATGGTTGTAGATTTCAGTCATCCAAGGAGGTCGTCAATGCCACAAGAGCTGCCATATGGGAATTTCCTGCCAATATGTTTCAGCAGCTATATCAGTGTTGGCAGACTTGCATAGCAGCCAACGGCAACCATTTTGAGGGCCAATGGGGATCTGTGGAAGTGTATACCTTATAATATGATGTGATGAAATCACAGTCCACGAACTTAATGACTGTACCACATATATCCGGTGCTATATTCATCTGTCAGTTCCCCTGAGGTGTGCTGCAGTAGACCTGCCCAGTTATCTCATAACAGACATGCCTCTGATTAGGCACTTAGTAAGAAGGAAGTTACATACTCATCCATGTATTGTGTTTTAATTTACTTTCAGGGACCAGCTGTTTTCTTGGAACAAGCCCTAATCCAGTTTGCACTGAGAATGCTTCTTGAACATGGTTATAAACCATTGTACACTCCATTCTTTATGAGAAAAGAAGTCATGCAAGAGGTGGCACAGTTATCCCAGTTCGATGAAGAATTGTACAAAGTTATAGGGAAAGGAAATGAGAAAACTGAGGACAAAGACATTGAAGAGAAGTATTTGATTGCTACTTCAGAGCAACCTATTGCAGCTTTCCATCGTGATGAATGGATTGCGGAACTGAAGTTGCCAATCCGTTATGCTGGAATTTCCACCTGTTTTCGACAGGAAGTGGGTTCTCATGGTCGAGACACTAGGGGCATCTTCAGAGTTCATCAGTTTGAGAAGGTATGTTCACAGCAGGGGAACCAGTTTTTCTGGTGGCAGTTTTTATCAATTTTCCTCTGTCCCAGGCAAATCATAAGGTAGCCGTTTTACATAGAACAGAGCCACACGCTTCCATATCCCTTTCTCGCTTTACATGACCATTAACATGTCAGGTCTGATGGTGTATATCCACTGTAGTTGATAGAGCCTGTGAATTAACTCACTGGAATGAAAATATGTATTTCTGCTCTGAATCAGTGTAATTTGATTAACTGATTGAAGTAATCCCAGCTGCACTGCATATTTATGATGGTAAACAAATTGAATTAACGGTCAGAGTTCAGGGAAGTTAACATAAATTTTGTAGCAGGACATGAGATGAACCAGCATGACTCATTTGTCAGAGCTTCATTTTTATTAATACAGTGCACTATCCAGAAGGTGTGTTTGACATAGAGGCTTCATGAGACACAATCTTGTTCCTCCAGCAAATGTTCTCTGAACTTCCAATCACTTGAGATATTTTGCAGTCTTGAGTATATGGCTCAGAAGGTGTAATTTCCTGTCGAAGTAGTTTGATCCATGTCCTACTGGGGGGAGAGGGATGCAAAATGGGCTCTCTTATTTTCCTTTCCTTTCCTTTCCATATCAGAGATATGACATCATCCTTTTCAGTGCTAAATTAACTTCTGCAGTTTATACAATGCCATTAATTAACTTGTGAAACAACCATAAAATTTTATAAGATTCTTAAAACGTTTTACTAGCAGATGTAGGTGCCATATAGTTCAAATACTGAGGTTTTGGTTTTGTCATATTGTTTTCTATTTAGGTGGAGCAGTTCTGCTTGACATCACCACATGACAACAAATCATGGAAAATGATGGATGAAATGATATCCAATGCTGAGGCTTTCTACCAAGCACTACGTATACCATATCGCATTGTCAACATTGTGTCTGGTGCTCTGAACCATGCTGCAGCCAAGAAACTTGATCTTGAAGCTTGGTTCCCAGGATCTGGTAAGTCAGTAGTAAGTTGAATTATATAACTAACTCTATTTATCCAAGTGTACTTTGTTTTTTCCCAGCTGTAATGTCTAGAAAGATGAAGGTTCTGATCATGAGAGTCCTCGTATTTTTCAATTCTGTTATTAAATTTGGTTATACATACAAGTTTTCATGGTCATCATTTTATAGAATTTGCTGTATCCATTGTTAGGTGTTTGCATCATGTGCATCTTTAATTCAAGGCAAAATTTTTTGGAGATGTCATGGTATAGTATTTTTAAATGAGAGGATTTTTGCTAGTGAGAAATATTCAGAACTCTATGTGTAAATTTTTTGTAGTAATAAAATACCCTGTTAGGATCCATGTTTTTACTTTATCAGTGCAATTAACACATTCATTACCAGTGCCATTACCTTATTGATTAAATTTTACTATGTGGCACTGCAGATCTTGGATCCCATTAAATGACAGGCTGTTGCTTCTGTGTACAGAAATCTCATTTTCTCCTGCAGATGTTCAGATGCAGAGAAACTTACCATTCAAAGTTTAAAAGTGATTTTAAGCTGTTTTTCACTTGTAAAACATTTTGATGTCTGGGTCATGTAGTTGCAAAGATGGTGTAAGATTATACTCAGGTATTTTGTTTTTGAGGATAAGTGAGATTGTAGACAAAATACAAGCAAATAAAATTTCTGAGGATGAACTGATAAATAGTGATAGTGGTTCATAAGATGGTGCAGCATGTGATGACATGCAGAATGAAGAGGAACTCCATCTATGAGTGATGTTGGAAGGCCAGCTCCATGGAATGCATCCTGTGCAACTCAAGATATTCAGGAAACATTCTCATGCTTGGTCAGATACACATCAGCAGCTGTATGCACCAAATCTGATTGACTGTAGGTGCAGAAGGGCATATATTGCATTTCCTCAAATGTGCCATACACTACCACCGACACTGTGTGAGCAAGCCAATATATAGACAAATTTATGAAAAAAAAGAAATAGGTAGGCCAATAACCAAACATTCTAAATTAAAACTGGAAACCAATAGATAAGATTTGAGGCTTTCATGGCGGTGACTATGAAGAAAGCAGTCTTCTGGGATTTGGCACCTAGCAGACTGGTCTGCTTTTACCAGTTCTCACGGTCTCTTCGCTTGCAGATTTCTTATATTTTTTCTTCTACCCTGAAGATGGAGGTGATACATTCCTCCGAAACGTCGGTTAACACCACATATACTCGGTGCCAAATCCCAGAAGACTGCTTTCTTCAAACCAATAGATGTTGTGGAAGTGAGGATTTTGGATGCTGACTGACATGCTGGAAACAAATATTGGGTGTATCCTGGTTAACGAGGGGCATATTGGCTATGCCTGTTTCCTATACAACAGTCTTAACAGTATTTTTTACGGGGTTTCCCCCCCCCCCCATTTCAGTAACAATATAAACTGTAATGCTGAAGACAGGCTGTTTAAAAGTTCATTCACTCTTGAATCATTTCTACCTGTTGTAACTGAGCAAAAGGAATCAGACAGCTGCATCATGGTTACTGTGATATCAGAAAATACCCTGGAGAAGTATTAAAGATATGGTGGAAAACTTTCCAAGAGTCTGTGTGTGGTTATAAATTTATAACAGCGTAAAGGGATGAAATAAATGGAACATGAATCAGACAATGTAACAAGGAACTTAATGATATATGTATGCATTCTAGTAGTTAGGTCTCGTTTAATGTATGTTTTTATTATATGACCAAATTAATGGAAATTGGACATAATTGGCTATGGAGATGCATTGTAAACAGAAGTACTTCAATGCCTGTACGTGGCATCTCACTAAGTAGAATGTGGCTTGGCTTTCCCGACTTTTTCAGTGTTTGTTGGATGCTTTTTAACCTGCTTTCCTTATTTTGAAAAAGTAGGAGGAGGCTTGTGAGATCACATTGCTCTTTGTGTGTCTCCCTAATATCTGAAAGCTGGGATGGTGGTGCTAGAACACACTTCTGTTGCCAGGCAGTGGCTCAGTAAACACATTCCCATGGCAATGAAGAAGTTCACAACAACAGAAGAGCTGTTGGACATTGTGTTTTCTGTGTGATCCCTGTCATATCAGATACTTAATATGTAGTGTAATATATCTTTTTGGACTATAGTAGAGTAAATACCTACCATGTGCACTCTGTAAAAATGGTCTATCAGATCGTGATGCGCAATATCTGGTGATAAATAATGTGTTTGGAACTCAGTGGGATAAGAATGAACCTGCTGAAAAGAGGTTAATACCTAAGACTGGAGTCATGATGTTTAGGGAGGCACTACAAAATGAAACATGGGAGATGACCCTTAGTAGTATGGAGGTAGATGTAAGTTTTAATGCATTCTTAAACACATTTATAGTCATTTTTGAATCATGCTTCCCCATGCAATTTGTGATGGATATGGAGCATAAAAATCGGTGGATAACTGGAATAAAAGTGTCGTATAGACGTAAAAGATACCTCTACATAATAAGTAGAGTAACTCATCATCTTAAAATAAGAGAATATTACTCCTGTTACTGTTCCATATTAAGAAGAGTCATCAGAAAAGCTAAAGAGATAATGAGATAATGAAATGTTAACGAAATCCACAAATAAATCTCAGATGTCTTGGAAAATTATAAATAATGAAATTGGTTGTGTAGCTAAAAGAAAAGCTGCTCTGGCGGAGTTCAAAAACTGGAAAATGGAAAACTAGCAAACATGTAGTTCCGCAGGGATCTGTACTGGGACCTTTGTTGTTCAATGTATATATTAATGATCTGCCTAGAATTCTAAATGGGTTGGCACGTACGGTTCTATATGCTGATGACACCACTTTTATTGTCTCTTCACAGGATATTAGTAGCCTTAATAACAAAATAAATTTAGTTATGAGATATTTGTATAGATGGTTCCAAGCTAACCAATTAATACTAAATTTATGACCCCTAAGGCCACATAATATCTATTACATATAAAATATAATGAACAGACACTTAAATTTTCTGCAAATGTTAAGTTTTTAGGTGTGTGCCTGGACAATCATTTGGGCTGGGAAAAATACTCTGATGAAGTGATAAATAAGTTGAATGTTGCAACCTTTGTGCTTAGAAAACTACAGCCTATAGTAAGTAGGCAAGTGTTGAAAATGGCTTATTGTGCTTACTGTCAAGCTCAACTTAAATATGGTGTTATTTTCTGGGGCTCTTCTTCGTCATCAATGAAAAGAGTTTTTGTGGCTGAGAAAAGAGCAATTAGAGCAATGTTAATGATGAGGCCTAGAAGTTCTTGTAGAGAGGTTTTCAGAGAATTAGGGATACTTACAGTTCCCTGTTTGTTTCTGTGTGCCATGGTCATGTGTGTAATTGCAACCATTTGACCGAGGCATTACAGTTGCCTTCAGAGGGCATTATTTCCACTTCAGAATTCCAAAGTTTGATTGTGGCTACTAATGGAAGTATAAACCAAGCATTAAAGACTTCTGGAAGAAATTCACTATCAAGAATGCAATTGACATCATTGCATGAGCACCTGATCCATTACATTAACACAAATTTTCATGTTTCAGGTTCCTTCATCTTTTTCTAAATTCCAAGTCAAAAAAAGAAATGCAAGAAATTAATGCCATGCATGCAAATTGAGTTTTAACCCTTTCACTGCTAGTATGTTAAGTAATTCCCAGTACCCTCTGTGCTGAATTATTTTTTAATAAATCTTTTATAAATAATTTAAGTGCAAAGTATGAACATTTGTGATAAAATGTAATTCATCTTACCTCAGACAGGGAACAGGCAGCAGAAGTTGCAAAAATGTTGAATTAATCAGTATTTTTCATAAGGGAAAAGTCCATTTAAATCAAGGTTTTCCAGAAGAAAGCAGTCTTCTGGGATTTGGCACCGTGTATATGTGGTGTTAACCGACGTTTCGGAGGAACGTATCGCCCCCATCTTCAGGGTTGAACCCTGAACGTGGGTTAACGTCGGTTAACACCACATATACACGGTGCCAAATCCCAGAAGACTGCTTTCTTCATAGTCACCGCCGTGAAAGCCTCAAATCTTACAAGGTTTTCCAGGATGGCCAAAAAAGTACATAATTCACTATCCTAATCTTATCATTATGTCACATGTTGACCAAAGTCCACAACTTTATTTGAAGTTATTATAGAAAGCCCCGCACAATGTACGAAGCCATTTTTACTGGCCCTGTGAAATACCCGCATCACATGACCACAGAGCATGTGCCTTGCTGTGCAGATGAAACCTTTTACATTTCTTAAGGTAGAGGGCAGAAGAATGCAGCCATTGAAATGAATGATGCTTCATTATGTTTCCAATAGATGACTCTATGCACCCGCCAAGTTTGAATGAGATCGGTGCAAAGAAACCTGAGATTAAAGTCGCAATACAGGTTTTGTCGATTGCAGCAAGGATGCCATGTTTTTCAGAGATTGACATATGTCGACTGCAGCAGTGTAAGGGTTAAAGGTGCAAATATTACATATTCATGTGCACAGGTATTAAATGTTCAAATTCTCATCAGGCGAACCTGGCTGACATACAGCCAACAGGCATGCACTGTTTTACTAAGCGTAAAAGGGAATGTGAAACAAGCAGTATGTAAGTATTCACATGGATGGAGTTTATTTGTGATTTGGGAATATATTCTATGCTTTGCCTGTGTGGTGATGTGCTTTTTCTGTCAATTGATAGGAGCGTTTCGGGAGCTGGTCTCTTGCAGCAACTGTCTGGAATATCAGGCAAGGAGATTACTAGTTCGTTATGGCCAGACAAAAAAGATGAATGCTCAGGTAATGACCAGTGTTATAAGTAGATACAATGTTCACGTATAAAGCCACTTGCAACACAGCTAAAATTCAGACTATGTGTTTCTGTTTCAGACTGACTACGTTCACATGTTGAACGGCACAATGTGTGCTACAACTCGAGTTATTTGTGCCTTGTTAGAAGTTTACCAGACTGAAACAGGCATCAAGATTCCAGAGGTACTCAAACCATACATGCCAACAGGTAAGTTGATTAGAGGAAGGTGAAATTCTGACAACATAATTCTGTTTTTATGCAGTAGTGGGTTGGTATAGAAGAGGACTGCATATAGGATATTGGTGGGAAAGTCAGAAGGAAAGGTACCACTGGGAAGACCAAGGTGTGGGTGTGTGGACAATATCAAAATGGGTCTTAGGAAGATAGGATGGGATGGTATGGATTGGATTGATCTGGCTCAGGATAGGGACCCAAGGAGGTCTCTTGTGAACACGGTAATGAACTTTTGGGTTCTGTAAAATGCTGAGAAATTCTCGAGTAGCTGCATATTTGGCTTCTCAAGAATGGCTTAGCTCCATAAGTAAATATATATATGAACGTATAAGGAGTGGGCCTTCTCGACCCTTGCACCGTGTGCTAGTATTAGATGAATTCTGGAATAGTATACAAACACAGTGGTGGCCACAACTTTAAAAATTGACTATTTTCTGTTGCTTTCCAGCCTGCAATTTTTTCCAGAACAGTAGATGCACAGCTGGGTCAAATATCTCTTCCTCCGCCATCACCAACAAAATTACTGTATTTTCCCTTGTCCAAATCTTGCTCGATAGGCCAGCAAGCAGTTTGCTGTAAAATTAATGTTTTTAATTGAAATTGGTCTCAATTACTGGATTGGCATTAACATAAAATTGTGTTTTTCAAACTCACATGTAAGAAATTAATGCCACACTTGCAAGTGCTGTTTCCCTTATGTGTATTTAAGTAAGCATATAGAGACCTTTCAGTTGGTTGCCAATGAATATGAGTTCAGAAATTTTGTAGTGCATTTTTAGTGGTAGGTAGGTACCAGATTACAGTGTCACGTCCCAGAAGACCTTAATCTGAAAACACTTACTGCTGTGAAAATGTCAAGTCTCATGCTCTGTTCCTGTTGGGATATATATTTCATGAAGTTGAATTTCTGAATTTCCATCCACGTAAGTGTCAGACCCATGTGATATTTAATTTAATCTTTTCATTAAAGATTTGTATAATTGTATAATTTGGATAATCATCTTCTGTTAAACAGTTTACCAGGAGGAAATTCCATTTGTGAAACCAGCACCAATAAATGAAGTTGAGACTAAGAAGCATAAGAAGCAAAAGGAAGGAATGAAGAAAAGAGATGCTGGGGAAGAATGATGAGATATGTAATATCACAGCTAAAAGCGATGGTGTGTTGAATGAAAATTGTGATCTAAACTGAATACAAAATTTAAATACTGGCACTGGTGTTAAGGTTGTGTGTGATTTGTATAATATTTAAATAAAAACTGATATCATTGATCATTGAATGTAATTTAATTATTCCCTACTGCAAGGTCATTCACAGGTCACTATAGAACTCCATGACTTTATATATACAGTAAAACTTGGTTATAGCAACATCGGTTTCTGCGACACCTTGTCTATTGCATCAAATATTCAATGGTACGAACTAATTCCTCATAAAGCAACTGTTTTTATACCTTGCTTAGTACGACATGCACAAATGCATCAACCTCATATGTAACGTCATTTTCATTCCTGAATCTCTCTGATATGGACATTGAACGTAATTTAGAAAGTGTGTATTGGGCAAGTAACAGGAAACAGATGAAGATAACTGATTACTGTACTCGTATCTAGGTACAGTAAGGCACAACAATTGATGTAATCTACTGTAATTTGGTGAGTAGGCCTACCTTTAATATACAGTATTAGTGCGGTGTGTATTGTCAGTGAAAAGCGCTGTAATATGTCCTTGATATTAAACATTTGGGCAATTCCACGTTAATGTTACGTTAATCTGTGATTAACTACGTATTTCACTAAAAAATGCAACACTTTAACTCGGTTTTTGGTAGATTTTTACGTGACTAACATAAGGCTACTGTGGAAGTGCCCATTTCGGTTATAACGACACTATTTTTAGGTCCCTTTGATGACGTTATAACCAAGTTCTACTGTATTATAATATGACAGGATTTCTGTGGTGTGCCTCATTATTTCCAAGCAAATTTTGGGACAGTACCGTAACACATTGATTGGCTTGGTAGTTCAGTCTGTGTAGTGACTACACTGCAGGCTGGATGACCAGAGAATCATGGTTCAATTCATGACACAGGCAAAGATTCTTCTCTTTGCCATCATGTCCAGACCACCTCTGGAGCCTATTCACCCTCCTCTCTATTGGATGCTGGCAGGTCTTAAGCTTATCCCTGCAACTGGACAACAGCATTCTGGCTAAGAAATCCAGATGCAGGTATCAGCTCATACAGGAAACTGTATGTAAAGATTAAGCTCTATGCTACTAACATGAATCAAGGAGGATGGCTTCTCCCCCTTTCCCTGAAGGAAAGGCAGAAGACGTACCAGTCACTTCCTCCTGAATGACACTCCTCTACCAAGGCCCTTACATAGAGAAAGCACGACTGTTTCCTTACTTTCCATTTACTACAGCCCTGAAAGTAACCATTACTTTCCAAGTTCTTGGTTTCAAATTTCCCCTTCTGTGCGAGACTTATGCTGACCTTGAAAATTCCAGTTGAGTCCAATTTTACAAATTCCAATTTTTTCTTGAAAGTAGCATTGGATTCCTTAAAAAATCCATTTCCCATATGTGATGATAAACCAGCGTTCCCCTTATAAGGACCATTTTTTCTATATCTTTACATTGGTTTGAACCAGGGTTCTTTCCTTTACCCTCTCTCCTTGTGTCCCATGACAACCTTTTTTGTAATTCATGTACATAAGGAAGCCTTTTCCTGAATCTACACTTTTCAGCTCTGAAGATGAAGGCAGCATGTTCCCCTGAAACAAAACTATGCTGTGTCACAACCCAGAAGACCACCACAATTTTATTTGACACTGCCATGAAAACCTCAAAACCTGTACATTTGATTGAATTGAGAACATCAGTTTGCATTTCTGAGTACTTATTATCTTTGTGTGTATGTATGCATGCACATGCACGTGTATGTGCATCTTTTGTTTTTTGGTGTTGTGGATCTGTGTTATAGTCCACTTTTTAAACCCAGTGTTTATAAAGCACAACATGGCAGTCTTAACTTTCCCATGGATAACATTTTGGATAATACTAATTTTTGGTGGGTGAAAGAATACTTTGCTTATTTAGATATAATCAGGAAATAGTATATGCCAAATTATGCAGAACTAAGGTTTCAATTAACCAACAGTGTGATGAAAACTTTATCTGCAGTACCACTTTGTACATTCACTTCGTCTTAAAGCAAATATGTTTACAGTCTCTCATTAGTCTCTCTCTCTTGAGGACATTTTGACAACATTAGATTCGAAACGATTTGCCATGGGCGTATTTGTAGATCTTACAAAGGCCTTCGATGTAATAAACCATGACCGGTTACTTACTAAATTGGACTTGTATGGGCTTAGAGGAAAGATTCATGAGTGGATGACCTCGTATCTATCGAATAGATTCCAATATGTAGAAATTTATCACCAGGACCATGTATCCTGTTATTCTAAGTCTTTTACCTTGTCACTTAAGGAAATTAAACATGGTGTTCCGCAGGGATCTGTTTTGGGTCTTCTGTTGTTTTTATTATTCATTAATGATTTGCCATATGCTATACCTCAGGCTAAGGTTGTACTATTTGCAGATGACACTAATATATTGTTCACTGATAACTCTCTTAGATCTTTAAATATAAAAATCAAAAAGGTTATTGATCAACTAGAAAGTTGGTTTAATGTGAATCAACTTTTTGTTAACACTGACAAGACCAAAGTATTATTTTTCCATGGAAAAGGATCTACTTCTAGGAACAGACCGGTCATACGTTTATTCAATAGGGAATTAGTATATTCATCTTCGGTGAAATTCTTGGGTATTGATATCTCTGAAAATTTGAGCTGGTTGAATCACACTCAATATATCTGCCTTAAGCTGAGCAAGGCTCTATATCTGATCAAATCCTTACGTAATTCTGTTAGTTTACAGGTATTAAGAAATGTATATTTTACTAAATTTGAATCCATATTTAAGTATGGTATTATGTTTTGGGGTGGTGGAGGTAAAGAGATTGATACAGTTTTTAAAGTACAAAAAAATGCATAAGAGCCATTATGGGCGGTTATAATCGGGCATCCTGCAGAAGGCTGTTTGGTGAGTTAGAAATTTTAACTGTTACTTCTTTGTATATACTGGAGATTTTATGTTTTATCATAAAAAATAGAATCTATACAACTCTGAACTCTGATGTGCATAATTACAATACAAAGCATAAACATAATCTGTATGCCCAACATTGTAATACAAATCGTTGTAAGAGAAGTGTGATAAACGTGGGCATAAAACTATACAATAATCTTCCTTTGGAGTTAAAGAATGTATCTGATTTTAAAGTGTTTAGGAGGAAATTGAAGTGTTATTTGTTGCATAGTGCCTTCTCTCTTCAGGAGTTTTTTTATATGTAAGATGTTGAATTAAATGACTGTAATTGTTTGTTAATGCATGTGCTGGTGGTTTTTTTATATAATTTATTAAGTATTTATGTATTCTTTGATTATGTTAGGTATGATTGTTATTTATTTTTAGTATTCTCTTTGACTTTATCCGATTGTATATTTTACAGTTATGGATGTAAATAAAATTATGAAAATTATGAAATTAATTTAAAATAACATTAAAATCACAATCAGCTGCTACATGTTTTGGCATTACTTGGCCATCCTCAGGAAACTGTGTGCTTGTTGTTATTGTCAAATTTTACAAATTTTTAATTTGGTAGTTGCTTTAATAGTACTTACTTGCATTGCTTTATTTAGTCCTATGAATATTGGTGTGGTGTTGTGATTGTTGTTATGTTTATCAACAATACGTAAAGATGTGTCATTATTATATGTACTGTATTTACGAGGGGGTACCCAAAAATAACCGGAAACGACCTGTTGCGCGCGCATGCTTTGTAGTTACGAGTTGTGCTGCTAGGTGGTGTTAGCTGGGGGTCTCCCGCGACTGTTAGTGAGCTGGCATCAGTCTGAGTTAAGTGGTTTGTCTGTAGTGCTCTGTTGTGTGCGTTCCTGTTTCAACCCTTTGGCGATTAGTGAGATGGCCGACCAGAAGGAACAAAGAGTGTGCGTGAAATTTTGCTTTCTGTTAGGGAAAACTGCACTTCACTCTTCAAGTCGCGGCAAACATTCACGCGGTTTTCTCTTTGGTCATCTCCGAGCAAGCGAGGAACAAATTTTGCAGACACCCGTCTCATGTGCAAACCTTCGGTTAAAATTCGCTGGACCGTGCTCCATGAGATGTTCGTTTCCTCAGAAAGTTGGTCAATGGTCTTTCGACGATCTTCATCAATTGCACGTTTGATTTTGGCAATGTTTTCGTCATTTCTTCCTGTCGAAGGACGCCCGGGGCGTGGCATGTCTTCTGTTGACATGTTGCCAGATTTGAAACGGGAAAACCACTCGTAGACCTGTGATTTCCCCAAAGCATCATCATTAAAGGCTTGCCGAAGCATCCCAACAGTCTCGGCTGCAGTTTTCCCTAACAGAAAGCAAAATTTCACGCACACTCTTTGTTCCTTCTGGTCGGCCATCTCACTAATCGCCAAAGGGTTGAAACAGGAACGCACACAACAGAGCACCACAGACAAACCACTTAACTCAGACTGACGCCAGCTCACTAACAGTCGCGGGAGACCCCCAGCTAACACCACCTAGCAGCACAACTCGTAACTACAAAGCATGCGCGCGCAACAGGTCGTTTCCGGTTATTTTTGGGTCCCCCCTCGTATTCATCTATAAAATGTAGTAGTTTAGAAGTAGAAAAAATAATAAAGAATGTTATAGAAATATGTACTGGAACATTGAAATTACTGATCAGTTATATACATACTTTTAAATAAAAGAAACTTACAGGGGATGAACAAAAATATGGAAACACCCAACAAAAAACAAATTAACGTGACTAATATGGTGTAGGACAATCTCTGGCTTGCAGAACTGCTTGCAGTCTCCTTGGAATGGATAAATAAAGGTCCTGTATGATTTGCAAGGGAATCTTGTACCATTCTTCCTGAAAATCATGGTAAGTTCTGTTATCGATGATGGAGGTGGATAGCGCGCACACAGATTGCTCTCCAAAACAGACCACAAAGGCTCAATAATATTGATATCTGGTGATTGTGGGTGCCATGGCAGACGTGACACTTCATCTTCGTTCTCAGAAAAACAGTCCTGGATGATGTGAGCTATGTGAACACAGGCATTGTTGGCTTGGTAAATGGCATCACAATTAGGGAAGAAAGTTTGCACCATGGGATGGACCTGGTCGCCCAAAATGGTCACATAGCTGTTGGCAGTGACATGACCTTGCAGGGTAATAATGGGTCCAACAGAATACCATGATATGGCTGCCCATACCATGATCAAACCCCTGCCATGTTTCACTCTTGGCAGCAAACAATCTGGATCATAAGCTTGGGATGGCGTTCTCCAGACGTAAACTCGACCAGAAGTCGGAAACCGCGTGAAGGTGGACTCATCTGACCAAATGACCTTCTTCCATTGCTCCATAGTCCAGGTTTTATGACTTTGGCACCACACTGTCCTCTTAGTGGCATTTTGATCACTGATGAGTGGCTTTAGAATTGCAGCTCGTCCAGAAATACCCTGCTTGTGGAGTTCCCTTCATACTGTTTTGGTGCTGACAGGGTTTGTGAGCATGACATTCAGTTCAGCAGCAACTTTTGCAGCTGTAGTCTTCTTATTTTTCATCACAATCCTATGCAATGTTCGTCTCTCTCAATCACTCAACACACATTTCCATCCACGCTGGTGTTTATCAGATGCAGTTTTTTCAGTCCTCCTGTATGCGGTCATAATCTTGGATACTGTGCCTCGCGAAACACCAAAAACCTTGGCTGTCTTGGTTACGGAAGCACCCACCATATGGGCCCCAACAATTTGCCTGCATTCGAATTCTCTTAGCTCTGACGTGATGCACAAAAAATTGCACAGAACACTGTCTCGACGACAAATGAAGCTTGCAACGTATTGCGGAGGTTGTACAGGTAGTGGTGTTGGGCAGATACGACAGCATGACCTACAAACGTCGCCAAAATAAACACTTCAATTCAGGCATGCATTTCACAAGGTGTTTCCATATTTTTGTCCATCCCCTGTATATACTAATGGTGTCAAAAATCCATATTCTGTACATATAGAGTGAACTTCTGATAATCTATGGTACTTGTGGAAGAAGTAATGAAAAACAATGTGTTATCCAAATACTCATGCATAATAAATTAAAGCAATCTTTGTTTAGGGGAAGTAGGTCAGGAGGAAAAGGCAATGAAATAATAACATGGCAAGTTGCAGTAGGGTGAGATGTACAGACTGCTACAAATTATTAAAAACCATCACTGCTATACAGTATTATACTGAAACAGGTGTAATGAGCAAATAAATGATTGTTGGAAGCTATAATCAATAACTGCAAGGTCCTAAAACTTTGGCAGCAAATCTACAAAGCAGAAAATTGAGTCACCTATAAACATGCATCTATTTATAAATGGGTGCATTAATATATATCCAAAAACTATAACAAAACATTTCTTTATTCATTATTACACAGTATACACAATTTGTAACATTGTCATTCTACAGCTTGTTTCAGTCAAATGGCTAGCATTTCTGCTTTGTATTTGGGAAGTCCTGGGTTTAAATCTTGGTGGAGAGACTGAATATTTTTACTAATGTTTTCATGGTTTTACTCAGTTCCTATGGGAAAATTCCAGAATAGACCTACAAATTAAACTATGACAGCATTATCCACATCCATTCAAATGTATTATTTATTCAGTGATCATCATATCATTGGACACTATAGCCTGAACTACCGACAGCATTAAATAAAACATAAATAAATTAAATATACTCGTAAATTCAGCTTGTTGCAGTAACTTTATACTAAAGAGACTGGTATAGTGGTAACATTATAGGCATGTATTTCAGAGATACATAGTTCAGATCTTAGGCAGGCAACTGACTATTCAGAGCGGATTTCGTGGTATTTCTGTATCTGAATGATAGTATTGTGGCATATAGACCCATTGCTAAGCAGGGACTGTAAACAGTAGTCACTGCTAGGTAATGCCTGCAACAATAGAAGAACAGTGTTTCTGTGGTCTGCGCATGGCTGTTTCTGGGAAATGGCTCCGTAAACACGTTCTGTGGCAATGGACATGGACACAACAATAGAAGAATGGTGGTTTCTGTGTGGTTCGTGCTGAGATGTTATAAGCAAGGGATAAAGTCGAAGTTCAGATTTCTGCGTGGGAGACTGTGAAGATAGAATCTGAGCATGTGAAGATGAAGAATCTCCACTCTTAGAAACCATTGCCAGGGAACGGCTGGTGAAGACACAGTGAGCAGGAAAAGGCTTAGTGGGTGCTGTGGTGATTTGTGATTTGTGGTTAATAAATCCATTCACCAATCCAAACACCATCTATAGTCACCCCTAAATCATGACAGTGTATTCAAATATGTCAAGGCTACCTCTTTCAAAATCCTTGCTTTGCTTACTGTTCACAGTCATCTTCCCATGTCATTCATTGGTATATAAATTCTGCCGTTAATATAGCGTCAGTAAGTAACGTGAGATTTAATGAAGCATGAAAACTTCACCAAACCTGCAATATTACCATATTTGAAGTAGCAAAGTAGAGTTGTTTCAAATTTGTCCACATCTAAAACATCAGTACTGTACATATTTTCTGCATACCGCATCAGTGATCCTAAATCTTTTCATTTTATGCTCTGCAGCCATTTTGTTGTAAACCAGATTCAAAACAGTAAAAACAAAGATTATCTCCCAAGAAGTATAGTTTTACAATTATTTGCATTTTATTATTGTATTAATCATTGATGGAAGTTCTTACTTTTGGAAACTCATGTCCTAGCCAGCTGACCCTCATATTCCACCAGTTGAGAAACACTGCTGTATATCAAATAGATAAGCCTCAGCATCATACTTCCTGTAAGTATATAGTGTGTGTTAATATAGACTGGCACCAAGTGAACCTAAGTGGTTAGTGTTTTGCTCTGGGCAGGGAAAGAGCAAGTCCCTAGGTCAGTCCCAGAACTGTGGCAAATCTATACCTCTGATGGTAACAGAACCTTAGTAGCCCAGTTTCTTATTCCCTTTGTTGACTGAACGATCACACACAGATTCATCACTGTGAAATGTAACAGCAGAGACACCATGCAAGCCTCTACAGCAGTCAGCTCAGTGAGACAAGCACAGAAGTACACATACATATGAACTCATTAAGGAATATTTATTAGATTCTTACTTTACAGATTTATTTTTATTTATTGAGTCTTATCTGGCATTTCAAGTCATACAGTTGATATGAACTTAACAAGCATGCTATCACATTTTGGTGGAGCTGGCTTCTAATGCTGATCTATCATTTTAATTCCATCACAGTACCACATTTTCAAGCTTCTATGATTTTCTTCCTAGTAATGGGTTTATTGAGAAGTAGTGGCATAACCATGAACATTTGTTTTTATCAGATAATTTACAATGATATTTGCTTGTTAATTCTCTTCATTCTTCAGATTCTTTTTAAAATTTAAGCAATGACAAACCGCAAGATTACACCAAGTAGCACCCCAACAAATATTATGCTTAATATGATCCACACTACAATGATATTTCCCTTGCAACACTGTATCCTTGTCTGCTTTGTTTCCTTGGGTGGAAGTGGTGACACTGATGGCTTAGGGTCCCTCACTGGTAGAGGTTCTGGAGGTGCAGGATTGTCTGCTGGCAGCACTAGAGGTCTTGGTCTCAGCATGGGTGGTAGGAGCATGGCAGGAGGTGGTGGTGGTGGTGGTGGTGGTGGAGGTGGAGGCAGAGGCAGAGGAGGTAGAGCTAACAGCGAGTACTGTGGTGGTGGTGGAGAGGGAAGTAGTGCTGGAATGGGTACAGCCATGTGGTGCACAGGACATGGTTCCCCATCCCATGTTGAGAGTGTTGACTGCACCGAGTGTAATGTTCCCAGTACTGGCTGAGAACCCGGAATAAGGTCTGGTTGGCTGAAACATTACATAGTTACATGAAATATGATTTATATTGGTTCAGAAATTCATAATGATTTGGGATACAGGTATCTGTGATTCTCAAGAGTGTTCATGTAACTCAATTTTTTTTTTTTTCACAAGTGTTATTGGTTTCCCTGCCTTTGGTTCTCATTGAAAGATGCATAGTTCAGTTAAGTTTAATACCTTTCATTTTAGCCACTTCACTTGTTTTTTAGTCTTAACTGAAAAATTGAAATAAACATATAATTATTATTCCCAAAGAACATCAATACTTACAAAGGTAATGTACCATTGAACTTCATTTGAGAGTCCGTGTCTGGCTCAGCAGTACTGGAACTTGTGGCACTTGTTTCAGTGCTTGGAGACATGGGTCGAGTCTGAGAATGGGACTGAGATTGGTACTGTTGGTTTCTTGCTACTCGTTGCACTATCATCTCTTCCGTATAGGGGTCTGTGCCTGCCATGGCAGGTATGACACCAGTGCCCCTGTCCACACCATGAAAGGAATGCTGATCTGGCACTACAACCAGTTGATACATGTCAGTCAGCCTCTGTTTCAGAGAGTACCAGAAACATGCTCACTTACTCACCATTCAGTTGACACACATTAATAGAAAGAATATTTTTGCCTGTCATCTAAATATATAGAAAAACATAATTTCTTAAGTGGCCAAGAACTTTAAATAGCTGTTCTAACTGCCTGGTTTCAAGTACCCAGTAATCTAAGGCTGTGGGGACATTAACTAAATTGAGTCCAGCTGAACTGATTCAAGCCTGACTCCTTAAGATGCTGCAAGAGCAGGCACATTCACTCTACAGAATTCCTGCATAATAATGGCATACTGCCTAAATCAAACTAAATTAAGTTGAGGTTCTGCAGAATATTGTGAGTCACAATTGATCTGGTTGACTGCCAACTAAATTAGGAATATTGAAATCTTGGTAAATGACAGAATAGCCAGGATTACAACAACCACCACCACATTCAGTAAAACATTAGAATACACTAAACCATCAGTTGTGGGTAAGGATGATTAGAGCACAATAGTGACAACTCACCAAATGTCAAAGATACCAGTTTCATTTTTATGCTGAAAGTTCTCAAATTATCACAGTATCTTGTATGTTTGGTGAAACTTTTCTGTTTGTTCATAGCGCTGAGAGGATTAAGAATATATAGACATTCATGCTTTGTGTTTCAGTGGTAAACTGACTGACTTCATTCAGCCTAGTCCTTCTTGAGAAGCCACCAATTGCTTAGCTACTTAAGAATTTACCAACATTTTATAGAACCTGGAGGTTAATTACCCTATTCAGAAGACCCCACCACAAGTCTCTATTGTGAGCCAGTTCATACCATTACATCCTATGATTTTAAGATCAATTTTAACATTATCCTCTGACCTTCATCTAAGCCTTCTTAATGGTTTCTTTCCTTCTGGCTTTCCCACCAAAACCCTATAGTATTCTTATTCTCTCATATGCATGCCACATGCCCTGCACATCTTGATTAAGAAGTAATCTTTGCTGAACACCAGTTATCCTGACAGCATCTTTCATAGTTTTCATCAGCCCCTCCAGCCAATGCATGTGTAATCACCTTCAAACAGACCATAAATGAAATCAATGTGAGCCCTGCAGTTAACAGACCATCATTAAATAGCCTATGAACTAAGAATGTGTTACAGTTCACTGCTGTGTGCTTTAATGGTAAGTTTCTCAGACAAAATGGTAACTTTAATACAAGAAATAAAGTATTTGTGACCATTGAAAGTGATAAAATCTTTTCAAGTAATCACCAATGTTACTTTGGAGCAATAGAAACTTCTATTGTGAACAGAGATAATTGGCTTCATAGGAGGCTTTTATTGTGGCTGATTTTAATATTGTTGAGTAACAGTGCTGACCTTTGTGGCAATGACAATGGACCTTTGGATTCCCAAGCAATGAATTTCCTAAACTAAATTTCGTGAACTCTCCCATATGAAAGTGTTAGTTGAATTTTGTCACATTTCCCTAAAATATAATAAGTTCATAGTAGGAGAACTTGGTATATTTCTACACATCAGCATTTCCACATTGTACGTAGCAGTCATTTAGTGGTAGACAGTTTTGACAATTGCCCTATCACAGAACTAATCAGATTCCCATGTCTAAATCACTATTGCTTACTCTGCCCTAATCGTTCATTGTAAACATGCTGCTGTTGATAATTTATGTTCCTGTGTTGCCATGCCATGGGCGTTCTAGGATCACCATGATCCAGTGGCCTTGTTCTCGGAGCTCCTGATGGTCTCTCCATTACAGCTCAGAAGATCTGAAAAATAATTTAAGGACACTGCATAAAAATGTTTTAGAATTTGCATTAGTTTCTTCATAATGGACTAATTATCTTTCATTCTACACTTAGGCTTTTGACTAGTGTTTTTCCTGGCCAGCTCTCCACCATCATTCTGAATATATTTGTTACATTCCCAACATGTACCAACATGTAATTTGTTTAACTGAATAAGTAAGCCAGATAGTAGAAGAGGTTTTTCTTGTTATAGCCTTTTTTATTTTCCCCACCAGTTATCTGCACTTTAGATACTGTAATTAACATCGTTTTTCAGTCACATTCAACTGCTTTCGTTATACACAATTAATAAGCTTAGATTTAAATCCAAAAAAGAAACAAAAAGTGAACTTGTAGTATTGTAATAGTAAAATATAGCTGTGAATTACTAAATTAATCAATATATAGCTCACACACAATCAAAGTAAAGGTGAAAAAGTAAAGCTATCCCTGTAAGGGGGCTGTGGAGGCCCATATGGTTATGAGACGTTGAGGTTCCCACATTTTCTAGATAATCAGCTCAAATGGCAGTGAGGTTGTCAGCTTTGTGCACTGGCTTCTCCCCCCTCCCCAAGAAATTCCTGAAACTCATTTCTTTTAGAAGCTGAGTCAACCCCAGGGCCATTGTGTGGCTGGAAGGAATATTTAACTTGAAAAAATCCAGTGACCTCACCAGGAATGGAAACTGCAATGGGGAGTAAAGTTACAGCTCCATCATTCTTGACATCAGCAGTAGATGGCGATGAGGTGTCAGCTTTACTTTAATCCCTGGGAAAGAGCTCCCAATGTCCATTGGATTGAAGGCATTTGGCTATTTTGTTACTTCATTATAGTATAAAGTGTAATGTCTGAAATGTCTCATATAAAATTAAAGGGCAACTTCCTCACCGAACATGAGAAGGTAGCTTCATATTCAAGAGATCCCATGTTCAAATCTTGGCCCAGAGACCAACTATCCTGACCGACATTTTTCATGGCTTTCTTCAGTCCTTCAAAGTAATTCTGGTATTCTATACTTATAATCTCAGCTGGGTACAAGCTGTCCAAAATGAGGATTTGTGTTCTTCACAGTCTCTTGAAGTGGATGCCAGAACCTTTTAACAGGCCATGCATGATTCCTCCCCAGTCCTTTCTACTTCTGTAAACCAATCACCTTCTCCCATCTCACTCAACTGTAATCACATGTGCAGTTGAAGCAATATCTCTAAATAATTTACGAACCATGTGCTTATAGATACCTTCTAATTCAATTATTGTTTATATTTGCTAATTTTTACATTCATCCAATATGATACACATCCACATTTTTTTTTTAGTTTTTTTTTGTTATAAAACACAAAGAAACCCCCACCTAAATTTTCCCAGTGGGATTCCGTTATATCCGTGAAAATAAATGCGAATAATTATTTGCCAAAAGCGAAATTTTAAGTTATACGCGGTCTGCCAAACACGCTGTAGTAGCATACGAAAAATACCGCTACTGTGTAAGAAGTTAAAGACGGATTAGCTTCTGCATATATATTTGTATAACCAGTTCGGTTTCTTTCATTCTGAATATGCAGCAGTGTAAATATTGAGGCCAACTGCCACAGCCGTTAAGTTGGTCCAACCCGAATTAATCAAACGCACTACTTTCTAGGGACGTATCCCTCACGTTGAAAGAAGGTTCACTCTACTGGAGAATTGCTAGTCCATGTACTCCTATGCTCATATATATTACCCAAACTTCCTATAGTCCTGGTGTCACACCATCGCAAACTGTTTCTCCAAAACGGCAAGACGCAAGTAAAAACGTATTCCTCTTTTAGAAAAACTCGGGAACTTAACATTGCTCTTACAAGCATGGGTTCGAGTTCAAATAAATTTCTTTCTGAAATGGGACACTGATGAAAATTACTTTTCATAGTAACTATAGTAATGAAAAATGTTTGGAGGTCACGAAGACAATACGCTTGTGGCTTCACAACCTAGAGATGTTAAGTAAGTAACCAACAAGGGCAGCTATAATTGTTCCAGGGTTACAGTGCAGATGTTTCTGCAGGTTTCTTGCAAAATTTATTCATCCGACTTGTATCAACTATGAGAAAATTTAAAATTTCGTTTACCCTTATATCAAAGTTGTTCTTTGAAGACGAACTCAAACTTTCATTCTTTGGTTATATGTTTCATTGCATTTCTTTGATGGAAAGGTTATGGGAATTTCCAATTCTTCTATAATTCTATTATCGCAAATGAGAGATTTTTTAGCTACACCTTAACGAAATTCTCATAACGTGTATTTCAGTTCAACTACTATACCTGAGTTTTACAAGACTGTAACATCCTTGGATTGCAATGATCTGTTAACGTTGTAAATATTGTCCAGAGTTCTACCACAAGATACCAGTGTGCACAGAAACTGAAAATATATGTGAAGACTTTGGGACATGGAAATCGTTTCTGGATTTGTCAAAATACGTGCTACAATATAATTAAACACTTCTGTTATTCGCGAATGCAACGCCTTAATACCGCATGGTGTGGAAGAGCAGCGTACATCTGGGTGACGTTCCATTAAGTCACAAGTATTGCATTACAGTTTTATTTATGTAAAATTCCAAAAACACTTAAGTCGTTTCAGGGTGAGGATATTTTTTCTAAATAGCCTGCCCCACAAGAACTTCTTTCCGAAAATCACAATCAAGTTTTTGGAAGAACTAACCGGCCTACTTTTCTTTGATACAACATAAACTGCAAAGAAAACACCGCGCGCCTCCAACAGTTCTTCAATTGTTGCGTGTGTATTCGCTGCCGCGGCAACGTTTTTGCCAATCCGTTGCTGGCAACTATAGAGGGATACACACAGAGACACACTGACGGATTGGAGGGATTTATGAAGTACTCCGTTGAGATGGGCTCAGGTGCCATGATACACATATATACTTTCGTAAAGACTGCTTCAGGCATTCAATAATTGATATGGGGAGGGATTCACAGACGCACAGAGAGTATGGTGATCTCATAAGCCTAATTATATTTTTTCAAAACAAGGAAAGTAGGCTAAAATGGTTTTTGAGTAGTTCTCTTTTCAAGGTAAAACCAGATAAAGTCTGAGAACTACAGCGTGTGATTTTAACACGGACTAAGACAGTGTAGCAGTTTTAACATAATTTAATAAATATTTGTAGCATATCAAGACACCTGAAGATGGCCGTTTGGGGCCGAAACATGTAGTGTCAAAGTGTATAATGTTATACTAAAATTAAAATTAAGTAGTGAATAAACAAGTGATGCAATATTAACGGACGATAAATACATGGACGTTAAGTTAAACATGTATGGAATATCGAATTGTGTTTTATTCTTTCCTGCAACTGTTGTTAAACCACAAATATCTGGAGAATTATGCCCGAGGTATGCTCCAAAACGCATATGGGTCTCAATACAATCCGGTCAGCTACAATATGAATATGATGGAATTTGATGGAAACAGATCGGATCGATTACCGGCGATGATAATGGTGGGGACAACGACCATTGGACTTCGGATTCCACAGGACAGGGAATTATAGTTCAAATGGATGTGCATCATCTGTCCGACAAGCTAAAGCAACCACAAAAAGCCAACCCGCCAATCAGAACACCACAGGGAGGATGGGACAGAAACAACAACAACAAAAAAGAGGCAAAAATCTTCGCAGAGCACCTATTCCAAGTATTTCAACCACACCCCACAGAACTCAAACCGGATGAAGAGGAAGAAATACAACAATTCCTAGAACCACCTTATCAGCTGGAATATCCCCTTAAGCCCAAGAAGAAATAAGACAACTTAGTGTTAAATACAGTAACAGACTTAGCAAGCATCCAAACGCACTAGCAATAGACCTCATGGGCCAGCCAATTCGGAACAGCAGACTTAAACGCTTCGCGCTAAATCTGCTGGGAAGATTCCAAGCATTATATTTAGTTTATAAGCTAGATTAAGGCTATAGATGTAAGTTAGATGTAAGTCCTACTCCTGCAAACATAACTAATCTACTAATGAGTAGCCTCCTACATGTCAGTATTATATGATCCTACCTTTTGCTTATTGTAATTTCTTACAGATTGCAAAAAAGAATAGATCAATAAAAAAGAATCTGTCCGAGGAAGTTCTTGTGCCGTACGTTTAGTGGCGATGATTCTCGGCATGACGCAAAAGTTCTGCTTTTTCAGAGCAACTGATGTGCCGAGACAAAGTCCCTTCAATGAAACCCCGATTTCTGAGGCAAAGGTTCTGATATTCTGTCAGTGTTGGTGTAGCCCATGTGTGTCCCAGTTCCCACGACGTAGTCTTTCCACTGTCTACTAACCAAGAGCAACTGTTCTTTCCCCTAGATGAATTAATAAGATAATAAGTGTTCGAATTGCTATTTTCGCAGATGATATTAACAGTGATTCCAGAAATGGTGGAAAGGAAACCATGACGATTATGTGACCTTCCCAGACGTAGCCTCTAAGTGTGTTCACCCGCTTTTTCTTCTTCCTCCATCATGGCCTCAGATGACGTAATGATCGCATCACCTCTTGCATTTCCTCTGTCATCACCCTGTGACTGGGCGTCATAAATTGTTGTTTGGAGGTGGAAAGAAGCTTCATAAACAGAAGTCTGACATTTCCCTCAGGACCATCCGAATGCTATTTTCAGATTTACTCTCGGTATCATCATTTGACGATACGCAGTGTAAATTATTGACGAAGTCAGTAAAAGACACAAATAAATAAAAAAAATCGACATCCTACAGTACTGGTTAATGTCACAAATGGAGGAAGATGTGTAAGATCTAATTTTTTAACAAGACAGAGTCCTACGAGTTTCCTGAGATCATGCCTGGTTGAAACTCTCCGTGATGTACAGACTGAGAGGTACTGAGACCTTATGGAACGATTTTCGTATCGCCAGATACTTTGTAAAGAACAACGTCTAGACCTCCCGTCTCTTACCGACAATGACGAACAAA